ATTAAGGCACCCTGGAATGCAAATTATATAGTGCAGTTTTTTTTGTTTTGGTATGGTAAGAGAAATAACTGTATTCCAGATACTGTGAAATAGTTAAACATTTATTACTGTATATACTCGTTCATAAGCCCAATTTTTTTAGTAAAAAAGGGAAGCACCAGAGAAGGGGATCGGTTTATGAACAGGTATAGAGAGGGAGAGGTGGGACACAGCCCCTCCCCCCAACAGAGGGAGAAAGGAGAGGCAGCAGAGCCAGGAGTGAAGAGGTGGGGCCAGAGTCTCTCCGCTTCTGGCCATGCTGCTCTCCCCCCTCCCAGCCTCCAAAGCAGCTGCAGCTCCAGGGCTAGCAGGCTACAGCCATGCTGCTCGGCCCCGCCCCTCAGAGCACGCTGTGGCTGCGCCGCCTGGCCCGCTGGAGCACGCTGCGGCCGTGCCGCCCAGCCCGCTGGAACATGCTGCGGCCGTGCCGCCCGGCCCAGCCTGCTGGAACATGCTGCGGCCACACTGCCCAGCTTGCCGGAGCAGCTCCAGCCAGGCCAGAGACATCCTCCCCTGACCTTCCCCAGATAAGTGAGAAGGGATGGGATGGGGAGAGTGTGGGGGTCCCGGGCTAGGAGTGGGGTCATGTGGGGGGTGGTCACAGGCATTACTCCCCTGACCCCCAGTTTCTCTCTCTTTCTCCCCCCCCCAAATTTCCCCACCAGTTGCTGTCCCGTCAGGGTAAGCAGCTGGCCCGCTGGGACACTTTGTTTACTTAGGTTTACCTCCGTGCCTGCGGACGCTCAAGGTAAATAAACCATCTTGGCCCGCCAACGGCTTATCCTGATGGCCCGGGAGCCAAAGTTTGCTGACCCCTGAATTATAGGGTTGGCTTATGAACGGGTCATAAAAATTTTCCATTTTTACTTATCGATCTGGGGGTGGGGGTTCGGCTTATAAACAAACCGGCTTATGATCGAGTATATACGGTAGTCTCAGCACTACTATAGTCAAAGTGACCTATTATACCTGTTACATATGACAGCGTCATGTGGTGTATTTTTCAGCAGTCCAATAATTAGAAAGCTCCTCTTTTCTCTTGTCTGACTTGTGGGGGATTTCTTCTGTCTGTGTGCAGTTTGAAGCCTTTTGGAATCAAAGTAGTTTTCAGATTACTCGTTTCAATCTGCCACTGAAACTCTCTTCATTCAAAGCTATAGGAGAACTGCTTCAGGGATCAATGTTAATTTAAAGGCAACTTGCAAAGAATAATGAAGGAGAGGGTTTTGTACTCCAGCATTTGCTGTGTATAAAGGTTTGGTCAGTTTTTTGTGCTTTTTTAATATTACAACTACAACCATAGAAAGAGAAGACTTTTTACTTTTCTTATTGTTACCTTAGAAAAACCAGGAAAGTGCCAGGAAAAAAAAAAGTGGGCATACATTTTTAGTAGGTCACCTTTATCAATACCTGAGACCATGGTAGTCTCTGTTCACAATGACAATTCCCAGAGCAAGAACAACAAATATTATTATGGTTGAGAAATAAAAAATATATAGTCACAGACAGTTCTTTTGATGCTTCTGTAATTCCTATTAGTGATGATGGAAGTCAGGTATGTGTGTACCCGAAGGGGACAGTAGGCTCCTTAGGCTGTTTAAGCTAATTAAAAACATTCTTTGTTTTTCAAGTTAGAACACAACATAATATCCATATGAAACTACAAAAGAACATTAAGGTTGCAAACAAAAACACTCAAGTCATGAAATAATAAAACTAACGCTGCCTGTGCAGGTATAACTGTCACCTTCTATTTTTCATCAGAACCCTGGCCTTATTCAGTGTGCAGTTTGAAAAGTGCTTGAGGAGTGACAACTGCCTATTCTAATCATTTGGCCCCATATTTCATTTATTGCACACCATCCAGCTCCTTCGCTAAATAAGGAAAATGCTTTTCAGATGGTTACCGGGCTAGCAGTACCTCTGTCCCCTTTCTGGTCTTTGAGGTCTAAAGCCTCATGCCTTTCCTATCACAGGATGGAATTCTGCAGTTCTCCCACTCTGTCCGGGCCCTGAGCTACAGTACTCTGCGTATTAACTGTGCTTACCCTGCCAATCCAACTGTGTTTGGACACAGTGATAAAACAGCCTTCTTAAAACCAAGGTATTTTTTATTTTAGTAGGTACAGAGCATAAGAGGGGAAAAAAGGATTTTAAAACAGTCTACACCAGTGGTTTTCATTCTGTGGTCCATGGACCCCTGGAGGTCCACATACTATGTCTAATGGGTCAGCAAAGGGTGACTATGAAAATCAAGTGTCAGATCCCCAAAAGGCATTCAATTTTTCTGATCAATCAAAAATATGTGAATACCCCCACCTACTGGTCAAAACCTGGAAGTCTTGTCGTTACCATAAAACGACAATGCCCTTTCTCACTCTGCATCAAATGCTGTGCCAGGCATGTGCAACATTTATAGTTGAATTCTGTTCCATTAGTTTTCAATCTAAGGCAGGGGCTGGCAAACTTTTTGGCCTGAGGGCCGCATCGGGTTTCGTAAATTGTATGGAGGGCTGGTTAGGGGAGGGGGTCGTGGCCCGGCCTCCACCTCCTATCTGCCCTCCCTGGACTCCTGCCCCATCCAACCCCCCCATTCCGGGATGGCCCCTCTGGGACCCCTGCCCCATCCACACACCCCCGCTCCCTGTCCCCAGACTGTCCCTGGACCCCTGCCGCCCCATCCAACCCCTCCTCTCATTCCTGATGGCCCCCCCCGGGACCCCTGCCCCATCCAACCATCCCTTCTCCCTGTTCCCTGACTACCCCTGCCCCTGACTGCCCCCTGCTGCCCCATCCAACCCTTCCTCCTTCCTAACTGCTCCCCGGAACCCCTGCCCCCATTCAACCGCCTGTTTCCACCCCGACTACCATCCACATCCCCGCCTCCTGACCCACCACCCCGAACTCTCCTGCCCTCTATCCAACCCCCCCCCCCCCCCGCTCCCTGCCTCCTTACTGCGCTGCCTGGAGCACTGGCGGCGCTACAGCCGTGCTGCCCGGCTGGAGCCGGGCCATGCTGCCACCACCACCACCACGCAGCACAGAGACCGGGTCAGGCCGGGCTCTGCAGCTGCGCTTCCCCAAGAGCTCACAGCCCCACCGCCCAGAGCATTGCGCCGGCAGCGGAGCGAGCGAGCTGAGGCTGCGGGGGAGGGGGAATAGAGGGGGCGGGGCTGGGGGCCAGCCTCCCGGCCAGGAGCTCAGGGGCCAGGCAGGACGGTCCCATGGGCCGTAGTTTGCCCACCCCTGGTCTAAGGCTACGTCTACACTACAGACTTTACAGCGACAGAGCTGTACTACTGCAGCTGCGCCGCTGTAAGGTCTCCTGTGTAGCCACTCTATTCTGATGGGATAGAGCTTTCCCACCGGCATAATTAAACCACCCACAAAGAGCAGTGGTAGCTGTGTCGGTGGGAGCATGTCTCCAATTGACATAGTGCTGTCTACACCGGCTCTTTTGTCAGTCAAGGGTGTGGGTTTTTTCACATCCCTGACCGACAAAAGTTTTGCCGACAAAAGTGCTAGTGTAGACATAGCCCAAGACTTGTATGGTATGGGATGCAGACTACAGACTGAATTTCTAAAGAGGTCTGTACCTCCATTTGAACATTTTTAGGGGTCCACAAATGAAAAAGGTTGAAAACCACTGAAGTACATGGATATGTGTCTTACCTAAAGGCTTATCATCACCTGATAGTAACCTAGACAGTCTTAACTTCTTCAGACATCCCCAGCGGTCTTCCTGTGGTTCCCCCAAACAACTTCCCCTCTCTTGAGAAAGTGTTCCTTTTTTTTAACCTGCCACAACTTTTGATCTTCAGTATGTGGGGGCCTTTTTCTGTCCTGGCATTCTCTCTCTTAACTCTCAAGTGTTTGTGGAGAAGTGGAATATCTTGAGACTTTGTTTTTCCTTCCTGCCTCTGATTAGATTAAACCAATGTATTCATACTGTAAACATCCTAATACCCATATCAACATTCAATATTCTTAAATGACTACACAGTAGCTCCGATTCTGTCATAGATTTTTCTATGGCTGTCATAACTGTAGTATGATATCTTGATTAACTTATTCCCAGAACATCCCCATAGTTCCAGGAAGGACCATATTCCTACCATTTTACAGATGTGGCACTGAGGCACAGGTTAAGATTCCAGAATTCAGTAAAACTATTAACAATGTGCTTAACTTCAAGCATATGAGTAATCTCCTCAAATTCAGTGAAATATACCCGTGCTTAAAGTTAAGTATGTTCTAAGTGCTTTGCTGAATCAGGGTCTAAATGAGTTGCCCAAGGTCACATGAGAAGTCTGCAGCGGAGGCAGGAATAGAACCCATATTGCTAGATTTCTAGTCCAGTGCCTTAGTCACAAAGCTATTTATTCTTTTCCAGCAGAATCCTGCTTCATTTGCTACATGCCTTAAAACTTTTACAGTGGATCCCAGGCTTATACATGACACACTAGCCAATTAGTTCAGTGCATAAGAGGGGTGCTTTGGACCCCCAAAACAAATGCACTCCATAACCTTGCTTTGTCCAATGTTCTAAGGGTCCAAAGGCAAGGGTTCTGAGGAAGAAAGTATGTGAACATGTAATTGAAGACTCGTATTATAGGGGAAGCTGGTTGCAATTCCTATATTTACACTTCCTAACACTTTCTATTACAAGGTTCTTGTGATCTTTATGGATTCTCATGATCTTTACTTGACAGCCTCTTACTGTTCCTTGGTACGCAGTAGGCTTTTCGTATTTGGCAGGAGGAATGCCTTTGGGCTGGAGAAGTGCTTTTTCTTTGTCCCATGAAATTTTGTTCAGCTTTTGGCAAGATACAAGTTTAAAAAATTGCCTTTTCCTGTCTCTTTTATATTCCTCAAAAATTTTGGTAGCATGCCTAAAAATAATAATAATAAAAAGGAACATTTTAATTCCTAGATTGGTACCACCACCGCCACCACCACCACTGCCACACACTCTGCACAAAGGAATACCTGTGAGCTGCTGGAGCAGCTGAAAAGAGATTTCAGGAGGTGTGGGGAGAGAAGAAAGTAAGCTTGTCCCATCCCCCAATCACAGCACATAGCCCATTTCTCCTCATTCTTGCCTCCCAAACCCAAAAACCCACCTCCTGGTGGTGAAGGGGAAAAGAGGTGGACAAAGCTTGGCTACCCCCTTCCTTCCCCCATCCCCCCGCTATCTTCACTATGAGATAGCCTTCTGCTTGTGCCAGCTAATATAATTAATCCTTTAGCTCATGTGGTGGCTATCTTTGGTTAGAAGTTTTTCTAGTTGCACATAATAGTATTTGTTTGTACCTTTTTTCTTAATCTCCCCTCCCCCCAACCAATCTAGGAAATTACATCCAAATAAAATATAGGGTCACATGCTTCATTGCATCTCTAGGCTGAGTGTATTGCCCTCACCAGACAATTCCTCATGCCCCCAATTTCTCCTTTCTACTCCATGCCAGGTTCCCCCATTCCCTCTGTATGCCATGGGTTCTGTGTGCCTCCTACATTCTACTTCCTATGTCAGTGGTTCTGTGTGCATCACCATCTCCCTCCAAAACCACCATTCTTTATTTTCTTTCTATTTCATGGTGTCAAAATTTTAAAACGGTATTGTGAGAATTGGCAGAACTAAGATCAGGTGTATTGCCAGGGAATTCCATGTGTCCTCCATTTTCCCTTTTTGGTTTTTCCCATTTCCACCAAAATCAGTAGGTTCTGCCCATTGATACCTAGAACAGTCCCTGAACTCTTGGAATTGAATAGATGTGGCATTCAGAAGTTATCATGTTACATCCAACCAGAGAAATGCCGTTCAGTTGAGTGTTAGGCCTTGCAAATTCAGTCGATACATTAAAAGAATGGTATTTAGATTGCAAAATCAAAGCACTTAAACATAAATCTGGCATTTCCCAACTTTGGTCAGTGGAAACTTAATTCTTTCTCCTTGTGCATATGCATTATATGATAGTCTTTAGTTGCATGCTCACATTCTATTTTTTCCACAGGATCTTGCCTCATTCAGTGCACAGGATAGACATGCAGTGGGGCCAGATATAACTTGGCAAAGGTAACCGTGAATGTGGCATTTCCTGACTTATCTGTGCCTGAGTTTGCAACATAGATATTCTTTTAATATAGCTTATTGTATTTCATACATATAATATATAAGGAGAATGTGTATGTATATAAGGCAGAAGAGTTAAGATTGTACAGGCAACTTTAATTTTTGTCACTTCCTGACTGTTGATTGGGTCGATTTCCAATTTGAATGTTTTTAATGCAGTTCTTTTTGTATAGATTTTTCCTACTTTTTAAAAAAGAAAAATGAAAAAAAAACACATTTTACTGTATGCTGCTATTCACTAGACATGAGTACAGTGCTGTGTATTGCACATATGCAGTAAATGAGGCAGGAGCCCTTGTCAGATTAGATTTCCACCTTTCTTTATCATGTGGAAGAAAGGCCTCCTTTGGCATTCCTGTATCACTTTTTTATGCACCCCCATAGATCGCAATTCAGTGCCCAACCGAGTATAACTGAAATATTGCTCCACTTTGACTATACTTTTGTATATCCTGTAAAATCCTGAGATGACCTCTTTTTGATTGAGATTCCACCCTGCCTGTTTACAAATACATGCAGTGTCAGATGAAGGAACTTTGGGAGCTTATTAGTTTTAATTATTTAATCTTGTATTCATACACTAAATACATTTAAAAACCGTTTTATAATTCAGCCATAACAATTCAATTTTTCACCAGACTTGTGAAAGGAACACCTATGAACTAAGGTCTCCCCATTATCATTGTGTGTTTGCATCAACTTCCATCTCAAAAAGCGGTTACAAGATTTTTTTTTAGAAAAACTGATTTTTTTTTAATAGTTGTGCTCAAAAACAGCTTAACTATTTCAGTAAAAGTCAAATTCAGCAGTGCGAAGCTCACATGATTCTGGGCAGTTGCGTTGCTCCATCAGACTTTTTGGGGCATCAGTGAAACTGACCAGAATCATGTCATTGTCACTTTGCTGCCTCCCAGGGAAGTCTGGAAGAGGATTGAAAAGTAGAGGTGCGGGAGAGAGAGGGTAGACTAGTTAAGAGTCTCCACCACCCTAGCAGCATATAAGGGAACAGGGGAAGGTGAGTAGCAGATACTACTTCCTTCAACTGAAGGAGGCTTTTGTGGTGAGGTGGAGAGAGCACTCTTTCTGTACAGGTGGGAGTTGGAAATGGCTGGGATTTAATCACATCTGTGGTGCTACGAAGAGCATGGAGAGCACCCTCTTCTTTCTAGCAGCTGGAAGTTGGCGAGTGTCTAGCTTTCTGCGCTCCTGGATCTCACTAATGGTAGAAGCTCCCCCCTCAAAAATCTTTCTTATAGGCCTCTTATTATTGATGCCTGGTAAATTGTTAAAGCCCTATGTACAACCTAAGGATGTGACATCATGTGCCCAGTGATATAATTCTAGAAAGTCAAAATAATGTTTGCAGCATTTCTCTTTAAAGGCAATACATAGCTGGAAGGCATTGTAAAACCAGCATAGTAATACCAAGACTTTTAATATTCATGTTCAGTAGCGTGTATATTTTGCATATCGGAATCAAAGGCTTTTATGAATGCTTCTTAAATTGATTAGAAATAAAAGGAAATTATAGCACCCATCTATTATCTTCATTCTACATTTTTGTGTGTAACTTGGTGGGACTCTTCTCTATCAGTTGCATTTTTCACTGTGATAGGTTAATGTAGAGTCTACCTGATCTTAATAAATTTGTTGTCCTGAAGTTTGGCAAGGCTGGGGAAAACTATCAGTTGGTATTTCAGTGCTAAGGGAAACAAGTACAACATCAAGTTGAGATTTTATGGGAAATAAGTGTAGAGGATGTATGCTCACTGACATCTGTCCGCTCCCTGGGGGGTGGGAAGCTAGTAAGTTATTAATCGTGATCCAGATTGGCTAAGCAGCTTATCAGTTTAAGTTAGACAGCCACTCTAACTATAAAAGCTGTTGTAATTTACTTGCTGCCATTAGTCTCCTTTCCTGTTTGATTCTCTTAAGTTGGATCCAAATACAAGACCAGTCTCATTTATGCATGCTAGGTAAATTTTCATAAGTGCCTTAGTCCCGTTAACTTTCAGTGGGATTTGAGCTCCTTACTTAGGTACTTTTTGAAAATTTTTCAACCCTTTGATACTACAACATCTGGGATACCGTATTGCTTTTGCCACAGTTTGAAGGAGAGGATTGCTTATTGTTACAATAGAACCAGTTTAGTGCTGATATTTGATAGAGAATTCAATCAGCGCACACTCTCATTTTGTACTCTACAAATCATAATTAAAACAGGAAAGTGTGAAGGGTGAAAACATTTGTAATGTGTTTAAATCTAAACAAACTGGTAGTAGCCAAGCTATAGTTATGTAAAATGTTCTCTTTATTTTTTTTATTCTTTAGATTACCAAGTGCTGCTCTTATGCATCAAACTAGAGCTGTAGACTTGCAAAAGAGGGCGATAAATGTTGGTGTCCCATTCCATTCCCTTTTGATCTCGTACATGAGCGCACACACATTCTAGCTGTAACTTTCTGTGGAACATCAGTAAAAATGAATGGACTGCTGGCATGAGGTGAAAGGGGGATATGTGCGAATGGGAGTGCACACCACCTCTGTTATGGGTGGGGAGAATGGGGGACTCTGGCATGGCGGGTAAAGGATGAAATAGGGTACACACGAGCCACTGGCATGAGGTGGAAGGCAGAATGGGGCAGGTACAGCCAGTGACATGAGGGAGGAGGGGTTGCAGGGAGTACCTGAAATAGGAGGAGATGGGAGGGGTGGCTAGCACACACAGCTTGTGGAGATGGGGCAAAATAAAGAGCCCCTAGTACAGGCAGTGAGTTCAGGCTACAGAAGCAACAAAGTGTGCGACCCTCTAGGTACCCAAGTTGGAATTTGGCTAGGATGTAAGGGCTGACATCCCTTTTCTTATTAACAGAAAACATAAAATAAAAAACTATAGCTGAAAATAAATTTGCCTTTATTGACAATTGTAATCTGAAGAATGGCATGTCTCACAGCATGGTACCTCAGCGCAATGCCTAGTGGAGTGATTCAGTAGTGACTCAGAAGAAAGACTGCTATCTGCAGTATGGAATCGCCAGCACCACTGGTAGTTCCTGGGATTTCCTTTGCTTTTCTGTCCAAGTACTGAATCTGCTTAGTTTATGAAATCTGACTATCTTGCAGACTAGTGTTATATGGCTGCAGCCCATAACAGAGATTTCCAATAATATTAGGAAAGAGGCTTCAGAGAGTCTGAGGCATAAATTTAAACTGGAGAAAAATGATTTTATATCTCTTTAATAAAGACAATGTAGAGAGTAGGCCAAGAAAAAAATAATTATAATGCAGTAAACTGTCCAAATTGACCTATTGCAAATTGGTTTTCTATAGAATTGACTCACTGACACATCTCTTCTGTTGCTGTACTCCCCTTGAAAATGTAAAATGGTAACCTGACCTAACTCCCTCCCTCTTGCCTTTTTTTGAGCAGTATTAATTTTTGAGTTGATTGCTGAGGCCTGGCAAGAGAGCACTCAATCCAAAGTGAGAGGATGTAAAAAGGCTGCAACTTCAGAATTTATATATTGGAGGGTGTTCGCTGCTATAGATACCACAGCTAAAAAGTTTGATCATGGGCAAATATCCTGCGGGTAAACTTAAACTAGAATTTCTCAAGCTGCTTGTGTATTTAATCATGATTTGAATCTGATTTTATCGCAGTTATTAAGATGTGTGCTAGGTACAAATGATTCCTTGATTTTTTTCAAAAGTTACTTTTGCTCCTGTCATTGATTACAGGCAGGGCTGATAGCGCTGCCTGTTATTCAGGTTACCGGACTCTTCCTATTGTAGGACCCCTTTTCAGTTGCTAATAACGTTGCTGAACTTTAGCCATTTGGGCTGAAATTTTCTATGCAGGTTGTCTCGGGCTGAATTATTTTGGAAAGTGTCAACCAAAATAGTTCAGTTTCCAAAAACAGGGCTAGAGAAAAATATGTTTCAGGGCTTTTTTAAAAAAAGTAATTCTGGTGACCTTTTCTTTGAGAAGTTCTAGCACCCACATAAAGTAGGGATTTAAAAGTTGGCAGCGAGTGGCCTTTGAGTCAGGGATATGTTTCTTGTAATTACTGTGCAAATCCACCCAAATTTGGCTAAATTATATGACTTTGAAAAATTGTAGTTTGCACGTGCTCAGTAAATACTTAAAATTTAGTGGCTAAAATCTGTGAAGATTCTATCTTCCTGGGGCATGCTTCATTAGCTCTTAGTGCTGACCAAACTCTACATGCGCTGTCCTAACAAAGTGACTGAGCATGCTCTATTCCTAGGGCTAAGGGAGAAAAGCTGAACTTTTCCTGTAGTTACAGCTTCCAGTAGCTGTGACCTGGGCTAGAGCTGGGTACTGGAACTGAGACCAGAGAACCTGTCTTTCCTCTACTCTGATTACCACTCTGCTGACACCTAGGAGCACAGAGGAGGAAGTTGTCTGACTTGAGACCTGAGGGGATAAAAGGAGACCGGGGAAGAAGGGGAGTAGATTGGGACAAGGATCCTGGTGAGACTGGGACTAGAGCAAAACTATAAGTGCGAGCTAGAGTAGGGGAGAGGAACTGCTGGTTGGATAAGGAGACTGGGTTTGAGAGCCAGAAGGGGATGGGCTGGTTGGGCAAGAAAATTGGGACTGGGAGCTGGTGCGGGAGAGGGAAACACATATCAGACAAAGAGCTTGGTGGGAGGAGAAAGTCTGGGACTGGCTGGACAAGGAGACTGGGATTGAAAACCAGTGTGTTGGGGAATGGGGCTGGGAGGTGATAAAAGACATGGAGCCAGGGAAAAACTTGGCAATGAGACTGGGTCAAGCAGCCAGGGAGGGGGGATACTGAGGCCTTGTCTACACTACAGGGGAAATTCAATCTAAGCTACGCAATTTGAGTTACATGAATAGCGTAACTCAAACCGATGTAGCTTAGACCTACCTACTTACTGCGGGGTTCACACTACGCAATGTCGATGGGAGACGCTCTTCCGTTGACTCCCTCTACTCTTCTCGATCCGGTGGAGTACAGGAGTCAACGGGAGAGCGATCTGAGGTCGATTTAGCGTAGGGGTAGGCAACCTATGGCACGCGTGCCGAAGACGGCACGCGAGCTGATTTTCACTGGCACTCACACTGCCCAGGTCCTGGCCACCGGTCCAGGGGACTCTGCATTTTAATTTAATTGTAAATTAAGCTTCTTAAACATTTTAAAAACCTTATTTACTTTACATACAACAATAGTTTAGTTATATATTATAGACTTATAGAAAGAGACCTTCTAAAAACGTTAAAATGTATTACTGGCACACAAAACCTTAAATTAGAGTGAATAAATGAAGACTCGGCACACCACTTCTGAAAGGTTGCCGACCCCTGATTTAGCGGGTCTTCTCTAGACCCGCTAAATTGACCGATGCATCGATCGTTGCTCGTAGATCCTCTAGTAAGTGTAGACAAGCCCTGAGACAAGGAGGTGGGGGGGGGGAAACAGATCTGGGGGTAGCTGGAACCCAAGAGGGGAGTGAGAGAATGAATGAGGATCTGGGATGGGGGAAATGAGACTGGCTGGACAAGGAGTTTGGGATTGGGATGAGAAGCCTGAGAAGTGGAGACTGGGACTAGGAGGCAGGGGTGGTGAAGAGATAGGAATGCGACTGGGACAGATTGGAAGTGACAGGGCGTGGTGTCAACAGGCAGAAGAGTATCTGACCTCTAGAGAACCTCTCCTCCAGAGCCTGAAATGGAATCCCAGATTTCTGAGTTTCATCATTCCTCTGCTGTCAGTAAATACCTGTGAAACCCACTAGCAAAGTGTCTTATCCCCCTCTAGTGCTGGTCCACATAGAGGATGAAAACCTATTACAGCTATCACTTATTCTATTAACTCAAGTGGCAGAGGTCTGTCCAGTGCATCTAAAGTTTCCAGCCCTGTTGATAACCCATATAAGTGTCAGTATGATGCCATGTGATTGAATCTCCGTCCCCCCCCCCCCCCCCCCCCCAGTTTTCTCTTGAAAAGTCTGGGAAATTACACACACAACCTCTTCTCCCCCTCCCTCCCCCCTTAACAGAACATTATTAAGGTTGCAAAGTTGAGCTCACAGAAGTTAGGAAATGTCAGAATTATGGTTGCCTATGTAACTTTAATTCATCCCCTTTCTGTATATGTATTATGATATGGTCTTTACATGATCACATACTGTTTTTTCCACAGGACCCTGGCCTAAGTCACTGCACCGGATGGACCTACTCTGGGGATGAATCAAGGTAGTATAGTGATGGAGGCTGTTGTCTGTAGGCCTCCTGCTTCATTAGTTACGGAAGTTGGAAGATGTGGTAGTGAATGAGCATGAAATTGCTTAAAGTGAGAGGATGGTCTCATGCAGGCAGTTAAATTCTGCCATGGAGAACTAGATTCTATCCTATCCTCTGCCACAGAGTTCCGATGTGATGCTAGGCAAGTCACTTAAACCAGATTTTTCACACATGGTCTGTAATTATGCATTCTTCAATTTCTGGATACCTTACTTGAGATCCTGGGGTCTGATTTGTAGAAGGGCAGAGCACTCACAGCTGCAACTGATGTCAATGGGGAGAGGTGTGCTTTGAACTTAAATAATGCTGAGTACTCATTAGTGTAGTACTATCGTAAAACTCATGAGAAAATTAAATAATTCTGCCTTCAAAACAGGGTTTAAATAATGTGCAGTAAATAGGTTTTAGGGCCACACATTGAACTGTGAAGATAAAACAAATTATTGAATAGCTGCTCCTGAAGTGAAAACTGTCCATTTTATGTATCAGAGGGGTAGCCGTGTTAGTCTGGATCTGTAAAAAGCAACAGGGGGTCCTGTGGCACCTTTAAGACTAACAGATGTATTGGAGCATAAGCTTTCATGGGTGAATGCCCACTTCGTCAGACGCATGCTGTTGCTTTGTCCATTTTATGTACTGAATGAGACTGGGATCCTTTGGGGGGGAAAATGTGATCATATAATTGAAGACTGTCATAATGCATATGTACAAGAGGGCTCAATTAAGGTTGCACAGACAGCCTTAATTCTAGTATTTCCTAGCTTTTGGGTGCTTGACTTTTCAATCTTAATGTTTTAACATAGTTTTGTATGTATAAAGAATATTAAGATGATCAGGAATATAGATAATAGATTGTCACAGTTTTATTTGGCAATAATCTCTCTTACTGTAACTTGGTTAGGTAAATATACTTAAAAAGCTTTTATTGTTTAATTGTAAAGCCCTGTGCTCAGCTTCTTGGTGGGGGGGGGGGGAATACGTGCTTAATTTTGTTTCTTCTCAGTTTTTGGAAAGCTTGTTAATGACTTTAAAAAAAAAACTGAACAGAAAAAAGACTTTAAATATATTTATACTTTAACGCAGACCATTTAGTTTCAAACTTAGCATGTACTTAGCCGTGAGTGAGGAAAGTATACTTCAATTTGGGAGGGAAAAATTCCATCAGAAATGTAAGTAGGCACTGAATGTGCTGCTTTCAAGATTCACAGAAATGTGTGTGCACATCTAAACTTAGCTGAGCTTGCTGTAAATACATGTTTATGAATTTGTCTATTGTAATAAAACACGGACAATGGCATTGTGCTTAAATGTTGTTTGTATAATTTTACAATATGACTAGGGCATGATACCATGGTTGTAAAGCACTTGAGATCTACCGATGAAAAATACTATATAAAAGCATAAGGTGGTATTATTATTTATTATATTGTTTGGTCTTTTACTGTATTTGCTTACAGATTTGACTCTGAGAAGGTTGTAATTTCTTTTGTCTGTACTTCATTTCAGATTTTACTGTTCCTTAGGCTGTATCAATGGAGCACATTCAGGGAGCTTGGAAGACCATCAGTAACGGTTTTGGATTCAAGGATTCTGTCTTTGATGGATCAAACTGTATTTCACCTACTATCGTTCAGCCGTTTGGCTCTCAACGCCGAGCTTCTGATGATGGCAAGCTCTCAGATATGTCTAAGACTAGTAATACCATTCGGGTTTTCTTGCCTAACAAGCAACGCACAGTGGTAAGTCTACCCAAGCCTCATGTACGTCTACATTACGCTCTACTGGCAATGCTGTGTAGTGTAAGTGTAGCTACATGCTGCAGTCAAAAGCATACCACATCCACACTGCAGTATGTAGCTACACGTGTCAGTGAAAGGCTCTGGCAGAGTGGAGGCAGCAGGGAAAGCTTCAGCAGCTGCCTTTCACTCTGGATAGGAAAAGCTCTGGCTGGAGGGGAGGCAGCAGGGAAAGGCTTCACCTCTGCCAGAGCCTTGCCCTGTGGCAGGGAAGGGCTCTAGCAGCAGGGAGCTGCTGGAGCCTTTCCCTGCTGCCAGTGTTTTTTCCTGCAGTGGGGAAAAGCTTCAGAAGCAGGGAGGCCATGGGATGCTACATGGCTGAAAATAGCAACGTAGACTGGGAGGGATGGCTTGGGCGACTAGAGATCCATGTAGGGCAGGGGTGGGCAAACTTTTTGGCCCGAGGGCCACATCAGGGTTGCAAAACTGTATGGAGGGTTGGGTAGGGAAGGCTGTGCTTCCCCAAACAGCCTGCCCCCATCCGACTCCTCCCACTTCCTGCTCTCTGACTGCCCCCTCAGAACCCTCCAACCCCTCCCTCCACTCCTTGTCCCCTGACCATTCCCTCCTGAGACCCCCCGACCCTAACTGCTCCCCTGGGTCCCCACCCCCTATACAACCCCCCTGCTTCCTGTTCCCTGACTGCCCCAACCCCTATCCACACCCCTGCCCCCCGACAGGCCCCTTGGGACTCCCGCGCCTATTCAACCCCCCCGTTCCCTGGCCCCGGCCCCCTTACCATGCAGCTCAGAGCAGCATGTCTGGCAGCCCCGCCACTCGGCCGGAGCCTGCCGCGCTGCCCTGCAGGAGCACGCAGCCCCGCCGCCCAGAGCGCTGCCGGCGTGGTGGCATAGCTGTGGGGGAGGGGAGTCAGCGGGGGAGGGGCCGTGGGCTAGCCTCTCCGGCTGGGAGCTCAAGGGCTGGGCAGGACGGATGTGGCCCGCGGGCCATAGTTTGCCCACCTCTGATGTAGGGTGTGTGCTTGAGTCTACTTCAGGTGTATCTGTAGTTTACTCACATAAGCAATGCCTCACAGTCTATACTGCTATTTTTACCTGCGATGGGGGACTGCATGTACGTACACTACACGCCACCAAAAGAAGGGTGCAGAGCTGAAGCGTCCTATGAGATGTTATAGACTTTTACTATTGTTAACGTATATGTGGCAACAGAAATGTTAAAAAAACCTGGAAGGTTGGTCCATGTTTAGGAAAGTCATTATTAGTCCCTTAATCCTAAAGGCTATATTTTAAAAATAGTATCATTATATTCTGGTACAATGTTCTACAATATACAGGTGTTGATTTACATTCAAATATTTAAGAGCAAGATATTTCAGTAGTGGGCTAACCTAATTTACAGTATTGTTGCAGAACTATCCTAGCCTATATAAACTTAAATATATGATGATTTTTGTCACAGGTTGCTTCAGCATGGATCCCCACAATGAAATATATTGAAGATAGATTGAACTTAAACATCTCTTGGTCTTTGTTCCAAGCTGAGCATTCCAATAATATGCTAAAACTCAATAACATTGGTTGAAATCCTAATTCATGTTTTGTCCCTTGCCTCAACATAATGCCACCCACCCACCCACTCACAGTGCTATCATTTCTGTCTGCATATGTCTCAAGTATAAAACATTCTGTCCAGCATAAAAACAGTAAACTGCAACAAAATTTTCTTACTCAAGTTTATATATTACTGTGGGTGTGACAGAAAATATGCCTGTCTGGCCTGTTAGCACAGTATGCCATGAGCCAAAACATTAAGGCCCAGCAAGTCCATTGTTGCATACCACAAGTTAAATTTTGTAGACAAACCTTCAAAAGTGAACTGTAATGCAAGGTTTTTGTTTTTGTTTTTTTGAGTAGAATGGATCCTTTGGTCTATATAACTGCCTCAAACATTTTCTGAAAAACTTTTTTCTGCTTCTACATTAGGAGTATCTGGTCCTGACTTACTGCTTTTCCTGTGGAGGACCTGGAATGTGACATCATAGCTGGAGGCAGAAACTTGAACAGGAGGAAAGGTTGAGACTTAGGCTAGGTCTACACTACCCGCCTGAATCGGCGGGTAGAAATCGACCTCTCAGGGATCGATTTATCGCATCCCGTCAGGACGCGACAGTCGATCCCCGAGTCGACGCTCTTACTCCACCAGCGAAGGTGGGAGTAAGAGCCGTCGACGGGAAGCCGCGGAGGTCGATTTTGCCGCCGTCCTCACAGCTATTCGCGTCACTGAATTTGCGTATCTTAAATCGACCCCCCCCCCCCCCACCCCCCGTAGTGAAGACATAGCCTGAGGCTGGGAGAGCTATAGCTCAAATTTCAACCTCCGGTTAAAACATCACATTCCAAGCCCAACTACTGCCAATGTTTCCTAGGGAAAAAGAAATATATCTGATATTTCTTATGTTAAGCAAGCAGAATTTTTTTCTTAAATCTAAGGCGGTCTTTTCTCATAATAAAGGAATATCCAGAACAATTTTTGGTGGTATGAAAAACAAACTAGCCACAGTAAATATAGCAAACCGTTACAATAAAGTGATTGTGGCAATTACCAAAATTCCTCCTTCCAAAACTGATTAGAAGATACTGACAAACTCAGAATGCCATACATAAAACCAGTATCATCTGCCTTCGTTTTGGCTTCTCTTTTGGTCAAGATCAAGTGGCATGTTGAGCCAAAGGGTCATACAGGCATAATTCTTGAGCCTATTGTAGATCAAACGGTAGGGATGCAGCATTAAAAAGCTACATCCAAACAGAGAAATGCCATCCAGCTGAGCATGAGACATCACAAACTTGTCCAGTGTGCTCATGGACATGTAGATTCAAACATCTAACCTTACATTTCACTTCCTTTAATGTCAAGGCAAACGAATGAAGCAAACAGTGCCTTAACTTCCTCTTGCTTTCTGCTGACTTTCATAGAAATCAAAATAACTATTAAAATGAAACTTTTGTATGAAAGGCTAACTTTTCTTTATCTTGAAGTTTTAAATCCTCACAGAAGCCCAGAAGTTGAATAGTCACCACATACTGCAACCATAATTTTTACTAAGCATAGTAGTTTGCTCTTAAACATTTAGGGAGGGTAGCAAAGGCAGGTCTTCCCCCTTTTAAATGGGGGTAAATATACCATTTGTTAAGGAGGTTCACAACTGGAGATGCTTCTGGATCATAAGGTAGCATTGATGGCCAAAAAGCACTGCTATGTACATCTGATCAGACTTACAGCTTTTCATCTTGAAGGGAGACCTAGCCACAGTTACCCATGCCTTTATCATATCGAGATTTGACGATGCATTCTATGGGAGCTGCATTAGAAGACCATTCTGAAGTTGCAGCCAATATGAGAGCAGCAATATCAGCTATCGGCATTGGCTGCTGATTTCCTTTTGGGTGCCATTTTGTGTGGTGTTTGATCTTATATAGCCCTGTATGTATGGTTTGGGATCTGGCTACTTAAGAGACTGCCTTTGTCTCTCCATTGTCACACCACCTCAAATCAGCTGAGGTACTCTCAGTTTCTGGTTTTGAAAGTTTGGGAACTGTTCTGGTAGCAGGATGATTGAGTTCACTACTCCTTCACACATTGAACTGAGAGCTCCAGATAAGTTTACATTAAAGGCATGATGTAAGGCTCATTTGTTTTCTAGGGAAAGCTATATTGGATGGATTTTTGGATGGACTTGTTCAGTTAAATTCTGAAGGAAATAGTATCTTTTATTAACCTGTTTTAGCGTTGCTCCTAGCAATGCTTGTACATGTCATCAGTGAGGCATGTTAGGCACACTTTTTTTAAAATTTCAAACTCTATTAATAAAGTGCTACTCAGTCTAGTTTTACTGTAGTGATGTGTAGAATGTGATGTCTAGTCTTGTGTAGAATATGAAGATCAGAAAAATGGTATTTTAAACCTTTTTATGTCCTCCTTAGAGTTTTAAATTAAAATTGGCTCTTGTCCACAGGTAAATGTGCGGAATGGGATGACCCTACATGATTGTCTTATGAAGGCGCTCAAAGTCAGAGGTCTGCAGCCAGAATGCTGTGCAGTTTTTCGACTTTTTAATGAACAAAAAGGGTAAGAAGCTGTGTAGTAAATCAGAGAAACAATTTTAACATCCTGTTGGATTTTTTCAAATCCTGGTTTTAAACTAGCAGAAACTGTGGTTTCTTCCCCCATTTTTGCTAATTTCTTTAGAAGTCTAACTTGGCTGTGAAGACTCTCTTCATGCTTTCTTTGCTCTTCTCAGATTTCTTATTCAAAAAGCCACTCCTTAAGCATGCTGAATGATGTAAGAAATTAAATGTTAGTTTTATTTAAATGCTCATACTTCTGGAAGATTTCTATGCAACTGTGTATGCGCAGATTTCTTTGCTTCCCTGCAGAAAAATGACTTTCTGATGGGGAAGCAAAGGGAAGCCTCAAGAGCAGTTATGTGCCCCTCCCCAGCAGTGTGGGCACGTTGTTTCGGGTGCCTGGAGCAGCCGGTGGAGAGGTAAATCACCGCAGGGGTGGGGTGAGGCCCTGGGGAGACCCCGACCGATGGCTCCTACCCTGCGCCAGGCTCAGCTGCTAGTCCCAGCTGGGCTGGGGGCAGGGGAAGATGAGACTTCCTCTTCCCTGTAAGGAGCAGCCAGGGCTGGGTCAGACCCACCCCCAGAAACCTCCCCTCACTGTAGGAACCCCCAACGAGCTCCTGTGTATTCAGATCCCCCCCACCCGAACCACCCAGTGATCCACCCACACCCAGATTGCCCCACACAGAACCCTCTCACCCCACACCTGGATCCCCCCCACTAAGCCCCTCCACATTTGGATCCTGCCAGGCTCAGCCTGTCTACCCACACCTGGTGTGCCTGGCGCAGAGGGGCAAGGCCCTGGGGTGTTTCTGGGGCAAGGCCAGCCTTTGTACAGTGTCAGAGATGGGTGCAGCCTCACCACCAAGTCCATGTCTGGGGGGTGGGGTTCAGAGTGATCTCCCATCTCCATGCAGCCAGTGGCCTGTGCTCCCCACTGCCATGCTGGAGCCTCCACATTTATTTATTGTCAAATAAAATTTGCAAAACTTTGCAGAATTTTTATTTTTTGGCACAGAATTTTTAATTTTTTGGTGCAGGATTCCCTCAGGAATAATGCAAAGGATTTTATATACACCATGGAAAATGCGTACACTTCTGTCTCAAAACTGAAGAAGGAAAAACCTGAGTTAGCTGCTTTTTACAGACTTTTTTTATATCACTCTAATCTAGCTAGATTGTGTTCAAATTTGAACATACAATATTTTCTTCCTGCATTTGAAGATAGCTCACTTCAGCATTATATGTGCTTGACTCCTCCAAATAAGGATCCTTGTATTCAATTTTAATGTTATAAATTCCTCTGGAAATTTTAAAATGTTATGGATTTAAGTCTCATCTCAGGTATTCCTTTGCGTTTTGTAGGGCCGAGGAGGTGCTGCTATTAAATACCAAATGATTATTTTACAAGCTGAGAGAGTGAAGGTATCTCATTGAGTTAATGTATTAACTTCACACCTCGGAAGACTTGGGCTCAGTGCTTTTTGAAGCCGCAATCATGAGACAGTCATTTGTGGGTATTCATCTCTGTATAACTGAGTCTGCACTGAGGTCTCAAGTAACTTTGGAGCTAAAGCACATAATATGGTTTCTATATCACTTTAAATTTGCCATTCATAATTTGGTACATTTGTTTATAAAGATATTTCTACGGTGCCCATCACCATAGCATCTGGATGCCTTATATCTTATAAAAACAATCAAAATATATGACAACCCACGTAGGGTATTTAACTGCTATTGCTGAAAAATTGGAAATCACTTACAATTCTGTGTTTAAAAAAAAAACAAACCTACTGAAATACCATTCATTCTAAGAGGTTGGTTGTATTTGTTTTCATGTTACAGGAGCATGTATTACAGTTTATATTATTGAATAGACCTGTTTATTCTCACTTCTCAAATTTTTTCCCTTTTTTAGCAAAAAAGCACGCTTGGATTGGAATACAGATGCTGCCTCCTTGATTGGAGAGGAACTGCAAGTAGATTTCCTTGATCATGTTCCACTTACAACACACAACTTTGTAAGTTTAGTTTTCTTCTGTATTTTGAATGCAGGATGCTGGTTCAGTTGACTTTCTAAACATGGGAAGCAACTTTAGATCTTGATGCTACAGTATCATCTCTCCCAATAAAATACGTTAATTAATAAAACCAGAATGACAACAACAACCCCAGATTATTTACAGGTGTTAGTTCCCTAATCTCAGTGATTTTTCAGACCTGGCCTAGAACATGTGGTAACGCCCTCTTTCATTTACAATAGTAGTAATGAAATAAAATTCTGATCCTCTGTCAGGTTTTTAAGCAGAGTTTTCTTTACACTCCAGTTGACAGTATTTTCTAATCCCAAAACAGAATGGATGTCTTCACCTTAGTCTTTATTTCAGAAAATTGAATAATTTCTCTTACATGTTCAGTAAAATGCGCACCACTTATGCAAAGAGAAAGTATTCATGGTTTCTTTGGCATGCATGTTCACTTGCTTTGATGGTATCAGCTGGACAATGATTGTTACTAGAATAAGGTGTTGCTTTTTGGGCTAGCAATAGTCCTAAACAAATTCATGAAATGTCTGTATCTGGTGACTGACTGTCTTCATCACCTGGGTTTATCCTGTGTATCTATAGGTGCATGATTGGCTTCTAAGGATATGGCCTTCTCAGGGGTGGTTCAGGTTCTGAAAATGACTTGCATTTGGAGCCTGTGGGTTCTTCAGTCAAAAAAATCAATGATGAAGCCCACTTATAGAGTCTGTTATAGAGGCTTGTTGTTTTTTTCAGGGTGTTAAGCATGTTGATGTCCTGCAAATTCATGACATCTCTTTGCCAGGCTGTATATGAGGCTATGTTCACAATTTGACAGAATTTTGTTCTCTCAGGAGGTGAGAGACTCTTTGATTATAGTTTCTTCCCAACAGCATGCTATGGGATTCCTTTGCTTGGGATCAAGTCAATACCCTACTCAGTAGAGATAGGGCAACAGATCTATCCAAGCAGGGTTGGAGTTCTGATCTATGTCAACTCTAAGTCTGTGGTACTTAGAAGCAAAGGAAAGCCAGGCTACGTTTAATTGTGTGGGAAGGGAGAGCAATAAGGTTAGCTCTCAAGGCCTTTCTTCCTTCTATCAAGATGGAATATGGCCAGATTTTTTCACAATGTGACCATGCATTATCTAAATTGATGGGCAACTTCATTCCAATCTTCTCTGTCAAGATTTGATTTTTCCATAGGGATATTGGATAAAGACTGAAACCCTTCTGATACGTCAGGCAGGACTAACCATTTTTTTAGCAGATTATGTCAGTTAGAAAGGTTATGATTGACACAACGATGCCTCATTTATTTGATCCATTGTTCTGTTTGGGGTAAGTCACAAGTGGACTTGTTTGTAACCAGACAGAACAGAAAGTGCAAAATCTTTTACTCCACAGTGGGCAGGGACCCAGATTTGGATCCTGCCTTTATTGTACATTGTGGGGGAAAGGACTGTTGTATGCCTTGCTTCCCAAAAGTCTTGGTAAAGAGATGTCAAGATGCTTAAAAACACCAACGTTCACCTAAAAAGAAATTTGCCATAAGGAATATAACTACTAAATAGCATTCTTTTGTGCATAGCTTATATACTTTTATACACACAATTATTAAAAAAAAAAAAAAAAAAAAAAAAAAAAAAAAAAGTCCAAGGTGATGTGATTGGTGCTTTACATGAAGGAAGTTTTAGACTCTTAATTGAAGTCAATATCAAAACTCCCAAGCACCTTATTGGCAACAAGATGGTGCTCTGAATCTTGCAAGGATACACTTAAATTTCAGTATTAAATAGCTAAGTAAAGAGCTCACCAAATGACTACAAAATATCCATAATTGTAACAGCACAAATACACAAACTTTCTCAAATGTAGTGGTAAGTTCAATATTTGGTTTGGAGCAGTTTTATAGTAAGTTTTCATTCATGATTTTACAGTTAATTTTTGCCAGATCCTTAGGTATTCATCTGAGCCACTTGACAGAGCTGTTACCATAATGGGGTGTGTGTGTGTGTGTGTTTGTGTACACATTTTAACCATTTAACTTGTGTTCTAGGCTCGGAAGACATTTCTAAAGCTTGCCTTCTGTGACATATGCCAGAAGTTCCTGCTAAATGGGTTCCGATGTCAGACATGTGGCTACAAATTCCATGAACACTGCAGCACTAAAGTCCCAACCATGTGTGTGGACTGGAGCAATATCAGGCAACTCTTGTAAGAACTTTTAATTATTAATACTAACAGTCTCTGTGACTGAAGAATCTCAGACTCAGTCTCAATATCAGTGAGTGTTATGGTTTGTTGAGCAATGTAATATGTAAAAAGATGTGTATTGATGTGATGAAATAACCATCAGTATCTGCTCCCAGCCAGTTTATACAGTAAGACTATTGGAAGTATATTAGGCTCTTTTTATAAAATAATATTCTGGGACAAGCAGACAAAGACATGGCAGATGTCCAGCTAATTTCTTTAGTGTCACCTCAAAGTTCATTCAACATGGAAGTATGCAAGAGTTCCTTGTACAACTCATTTTTGTCTAAGAAAAAAATTAACCCTTTTGACATAGAGCACTATTGGTACTATGGGGCTTTTGAAAATTTGACACCAGAGATCCCATAGTCCTTTTGAAACTCAACGAAATTTAGGCTTCTAAGGCCATGCCTACTGTAGTCCTTATGTCAGCAAAACTTTTCTCGCCCAGGGGTGTGACATCCCCTCCACCCCCCCCCCCCGCGCGACATAAGTTTTGCCAGCATAAGCACTCATGTGCACTATGCTATGTCGATGGGAGACGCTCTCCCGCCAGCATAGTTACCACCGCTCATTGAGCTGGTTTTATTATGTCGACGGGAGAATGCAGTTACTTGAGCACTCTTACAGCGGCACAGCTGTATTGGTACAGCTGTGCTGCTGTAAACTTGTAAGTATAGATATGGCCTAAGTCATCAAGAGGTTTCTGAAAATTTTATCCTTGGTTCTTATTAGGAAGCTGCACCAGTGTAACTAAATCAACTTAAAATAAATTTAATTATACTGCTACTGAAGCCTAGTGCAGATGGAATTAAACCTATTTAAATGAATAAAATGGTTCAAGTACATCTATATTAGTAGTTTTATATTAGTTTAACTAAATTTAGTTGTGTAGGTACACACTTTCTAATGTAGACCAGCCCAAAGAGTGTAGGATAAATTGTAGGATTCAGTGCTAACTTCTAAACCTCCCTTAGCTCCTTTGCACTAGCAGTTTGGTGTTGAATGTCATGCCAGGAAAGGCTAATACCCAAAGTTTAATTTAGAAGTAACACTTAGAAAAAATCATTAGGTCTGTAAGGACATATAGGGGTTTATTGGTCATGGAGCACACCATAAGCTTAAAGACAGAGCAGGAAAACAAACTTTGTATAAATATGGATAAATATAATATTTTGCATGATAGCAATCAACCATAATGCAAAAACAGAAACCTAAAATGATACCTTTTTCTGTAGCATTGATCAGGATGTAATGTAGTACTTACTTAATTGTAATTCTTTTTGTTGATATTTCAGATTGTTCCCTAATTCAAATATCAGTGACAGTGGTGTCCCTGCACTACCTCCCTTGACAATGCGACGGATGCGTGAGTCTGTCTCCCGGATGCCTGTTAGGTAAGCTATTTCCACTACTTTTTGTTCTGGGAAGTATAGTTTCAATAAAATGGAATGATCATGTAATACTGGTGATGGACAGAATACGCTAAAACAACATCACTTTAGTTTTAAGGCTGAAATGCTAATATCTGTTTGCATTTAGAAATTGTAAATAAGATATGTAATATCCCGCTTTTCTACAGTTCCTAGAATTAAGAAACACTTGCACCTGGGATTGCCGGCTTTGAATTTTTAGTCTTGAGGTTTTAAATCAGATCATTAAAGGTGTGGGGGGGTTTTGTTTTTGTTTTTTTAAATATTTTTGATACTGTTGTGTCTTTAAAAATATCAGTATCAAAAAGTAATATGCTGTAGAATATAGGTTCCTTCAGACAGTATTGTGCCAATAGCCCCATTAGAACACAACCAGTCATGTAGTACGTGTGTGAAAATGGATGATTCATTTGTTTTGCATGAGTCATATATAGAAGCTTTTAAAACACCATCAGTTTTGATACTACATGTTCTTACTGTTTAACCTAAGTAGAGGGATTTTAAAAGGAAACAGTATATAATAGGTTAAAGAAAATATACCATCCTTGAAATTCTGAAAATTAAAGAAAATGTGTGTCGATTTAGATGCTAAATGCATATTCTCCTTCCATGCAGCATATCCTCTGACCCTTACTTCACACTTGGGTCCCTTTCCCTGCAGTATTAGAGACTGATGAGGTTAGGCCAGGCCAGAAGTGTATGCCCCTGTTTGGTAATTCTTTGCTTCAGCTGTAATCCAGTATTGGCCGTATGTTAGAGAAATTACATTCTTTATTTAACCACTGTTGTTTGATTTCTATAGAACTGTATTGGGCTCCTTTTAGCTGGTATTAGGATCCATGACTTCCTTGTAAGCTGTTCTGTGTGAACAGTTGAACAGTCCCAGCAATCTATTTCCCCTTCCCAAACTATAATTCTCACAGCAACTTAAAACTATTTTTTAAACTCCTAAAAATTGACTAGGCTTGAAAGAAGGGTCTTGCTTAAATTTCACAGATCTGTATTAATTCTAACTGAGCTAGTATTTTAACAACTGATTAAATGTGAGCTGGCAGGAGTTGAGATGAAGAGTAACAAATTAAATAATGGCAAAAATACCACAGACTGCTGCTGAATGTGCCAGGCAGGTATTGCCAACTGTTAAAACCTTGCTTAAAACCCTTTGATTTTGTTCCTAAATTAAATTGGGCAAAATCCAACTGGCTAAATAGCTTAGTCAGCAAATAGTACTAATCCTTCCTGGATTCTGTGTGTTTTTGTTTTTAGGCAAGATGTACTATACGGTAATTTACAACTAGTATAGAAAGAAAAATGAACTGTGACTTATTTTCTCCCTCTCCTCATGTTAGTTCCCAGCACAGATATTCTACGCCTCATGCCTTCACATTCAACACATCAAATCCTTCCTCTGAGGGCTCCCTTTCCCAAAGACAGAGATCTACATCCACCCCAAATGTCCATATGGTCAGCACTACCATGCCTGTAGACAACAGGATAATTGAGGTAATATGCTGAATAAGAAATTGTGTAGAGCTCATCTAAAACTACTACTGGTTATTTAACCAGTATTTTAATTGTTGTTGCTATTTTCTGCTTAACATCTTCCCTTAGTTTGGTAAGTGGTGAAAGCCCAGGGTGACCAATGTCTGCCTAGAGGTTTAAGTATCTTATCTTTCATGCTTGCAGCCTCTCACCTTTGCTAAAGTTTTTAACAGGTTTTGTGCTGCTTTACAAAGAATTGGTGGAGCCTAATGTTAAGAAGTTTAACAGATCACTCTTACTGCGCAAGAGCATGACCAGATTTGGTGCACAGCTGCTTACTGTTGGTCATTTGGAATGTATTCTTTGCCATTTAAAAAACATAAACTCACATGCAAATTGATAAATCAGTCAGATGGTGGTGCATATCTGCATGCCAGTTGCAAAGAATGAATATTAAAGGCAATGCCTCTTGTGCTATGCAGTCCATTAGACCTATACTTAGAGTATGTCTTCACTACCGGCTGGATCAGTGGGCAGTGATCGATCCAGCGGGGATCGATTTATTGTGTCTAGTCTAGACGCGATAAATCGATCCCCGAGCGCTCTCCCCTCGACTCCTGTACTCCAGTTCAGCAAGAGGTGCAGGCAGAGTTGACAGGGGAGCGGCAGCAGTTGACTCACCGCAGTGAAGACATCACAGTAAATTGATCCAAGTACGTCGACTTCAGCTACGTTATTCACGTAGCTGAAGTTGCGTAACTTAGATCGATCCCGCCCCCCAGTGTAGACCAGGCCTTAGTATTAAGGACCCTAGAATTACGTGGTAAGGTTCAGCACAGCTGAGATTCTCCTTCCTTCTACTTTCTTTCAAACTTCTATTCTTTTTGTAGATTGGCAGTGCAGTCAAGCCTGAAACAGGAGCTCTAGTTGCTATTAGGTGTTATTAATGTTAAAACTCACTGGGGGCGGGGGGAGGCTTGCAGGAAGAGGAGCATGACCTGCACAGCTCCTACCAACCAGAGCCCTTTATTCTAATAGATTTTGGAACTTCTCAGGACACATCCCTAGCTGCAGAGTTGTAAGATACACAGAAAGGTTTGCTGCCTTTGGTTCCTCTGGCACACCTCCAAAAGGGCTCATGAGGGAGCTTCTCTTCTGAGCACCTTTGGACTCTATAGCTGGGGAAAGATGCCTGTATGTCAGAGCCTCTAAGCTCTTTTTGGAGCAGAAGCTATGTTCAAGGTGGGCTTTAAAGGGGAAGTACCTTTCCTTTTTTTTTGTTTGTTTTCCTTGGCCACTGTCTCATTCCCTCTTCACCAAGCTCCATTGCTGACCATATTTATGTCACAAAAATTACTCACAGGGTAGTTTTACAAATAGGCAAATGTATTATACAACCATCTACATTCCCTAATAATTGTGTAGTACACAGGGCTTTGACGAATACACTGTCATCTTGTGTTTCATATAATGTAATGATGAGATGCCACTCTTTATCCCTTCCCACCTTTTTAATATCTTAAAGGATTGTGAATGAAGTAATGTAAATGTGCAGTTTCCAGAAACAAATAGCTTTTTACATAATCTTGGAAGGTGTTTCACACAGTGTTGAATGGAAAAGACTGGTTTTTAATAAAGTAGTTTTCAAAAATGTGGGCATTAATATTCTCACTGTAGTTTAAAACTATACTTACTAGAGAGAAAAATATAACCTGCACAGAGCTAATGAATAAAGCTGCTTTTTCTTTCCTCGAGTTCCGGATCGTTTGTTTTTATTCATTCATCTTAGCAACTGAAAACTATTATTTTTTACTACTTCCTCTGTTCTTTTCTTTATTTCTCATTGCTTTGTATTAGAACAACAGCTTGAATGCTTCTCCCAGTTCCTGGTGCAGACGATTTTGTTTGAGGGGAAGAGTAGGTATTTTTCTTCATGCCTTTGCTTTCTTGCAATTAACAGCATTTGTAAGACTGTAAACCACAGTAATGGCTAAGTGAAATTATTAATCTAAAATTAGTTTAATAAAGATGTTGGTATGGCATGTTTGTTTTGGTTCAGTTCTAATATGTGAGTACGGTAGTTGGAGGTGATACCTGGGCAGAATAGTTTCAGTCATGAGTTAAGTTGATAATTCTACAGACAGTGAAATTCGTCTTTGTGTTAACCCATTCACTTTAGTAGGTTTACACTAACAAAGCATTGGCCCCACTATGTTTAAAATAAAATCTTGTCTCAAACACGTCCTTTAATGTACTGTCTGGCCTTTTCTCTGGGAATTGTTTTGGTGAATTATAGCATGGCCACACCAAGATGATATAGCCAAGTAAAAACCAAGATTAAATAAATAGTGTGCTCATGGAGTCACATTGCTTGAGGCCAGAAGGTACCGCCAGATCATCTAGTCTGACCTCCTGTATATCACAGGCCACCACCACCACCCACATACAAAGTCCAACAACCATAATTAGATCAAAGTATTGCAGCCCACAGGAGACTAGACTATTAGGTGCCACAGCCAGAGAATAGGAAGCCTGAGGTGCACCTGTACCCAAAGCCCCTGCAGTGGCAGAGAAATGATTGTCAGGTGTACCCAGATAATCCTGGCAAGTGAGCCACCTTGCACTACTCGTACTTCGCATAAAGATTAGGTGTAAATGACAAATTATGGTACTGGTGTATAATATATGTATATGTGATTACTCAAAAGAGCACCTATATTATTTCCGTGACTAAAAAGATTCAGCAGAGGTTAATATTTTCCCTTTAGCCCAAACTGAGAGAAAATAAAATTATTGAAGTGCAGTGGAAGTGCTGTTTTTCTTAGAAATCAGGTGTATGTATATGTAAATCTAAAAATATAACTTCTTTTAAAATGGCTTTCTTTAAAGTAGCTGAGTTTTTCAACTCATTTGACTGAAATTACACTCCAGGGCAGCTGTACAAAATCCATCTCTGGTACTGATTGCAGGTTCTTATAAAGTTTTCTGCTTTCTGCCTGGTTGTCTCTGTTCTTGAACAGGTAGTATAATGCAAGAATGCTTCAAAGAGTTAGATTTGTGCATATTGTAATCTGTTGAAGATTAGAGCAGAGAAGCACAGCAGGAATGTGTGAATGTTTTGATTCAAAACACAGGTCATAGGTCAAAGTTTGTTACTAGCCATGACAGCATCCCTTTCTGAATGAATCTTTAGGAATTATAATTAGGACAACTCTTTAAAAATGTGTTGCTTACCTTAATAGAATTAGTATGGATCATCCATAAGCCTTCGTGTAGGGTACTTGTAGATTGTTCTGCTCTGCCATGAAATCTAAATGTCATCTGTTGATAGTTGGTTGGAAGATTTGAATTGACTTTTATTAACTCTTTTTTAATATTTGACATTTCTGTAGTGCATGTTCTTGCTTTGTATAGTATTTAGCCAACTTAAAGTTGTATTTTGGTCAGCGATGTAAATCTTGTGAGAATTTATTTACTTTGGTATTAGAGTGCAAATCTCAATCTTTTGCAGTCTCACATGGTACAGTGGGTGTATGTACTTCCAAAGTGTTTACTGGTTTTAAAGTTTGTTCACATTCTAACAATATTCCCCATTATATGTAGAAGGAATCTCTCTCAATGCAGTACCAAAATAATAATGATTTTCTAAATGCATTCACTGTAGGTAGTAGACCACGGTAGGAATTATGTACCTATCTGAAATTCAGGGGTGCATAACAGTTTCACAAGACAGTACAATGGCTGGGAATATTAAAAACATGTATAGTATTTTCTTTGACAAGGAGGTTCTTATTCAGCAGGAGCGATTGTATATCAATATAGTTTAACTTCCCCATAAAAATTATGTAAATTAATTGTGCGAGCTCATGATTAGAGCCAGGTTGAAAAGGGGGCAAACTAGATGTTTTCAGCAAGTAACAGTTGGATTCTTGTGACTTCTAAAATATCTAAACCATTCTCTTTTGGAAGATACTGGTCAGTAATCTGGTGCCCTGAATCAAAGCTCTTTAGCACCATTTCATGGGTGATCTACATTTTCTGAGATCTGATTTCCAGACCCCTTTCCTCCCTTCACACTTTGTCTGACATCTTATGAAATGTTGATATATATATATATATATATATTTTTTTTTTAATTTATTTTCTCTCCCATTTTAGGATGCAATTCGAAGCCACAGTGAGTCAGGTAAGGTTTCCGTACATAAAATAGTTAGAATTCTTTCTTTTACTCTACATTTATTTTCTCTTGTTCATAATTTCCTGTTTTGTTTTTGTGTATTAAGCTTCACCGTCAGCTCTGTCTGGAAGTCCCAACAATATAAGCCCAACGGGCTGGTCTCAATCCAAAACCCCAGTGCCAGCACAAAGAGAGAGAGCTCCTGGATCCAACACACAAGAAAAAAACAAAATTGTAAGCACTGTAGTATTTGTTCTTCGAGTGATTGCTTGTGCGTATTCCACAGTAGGTGTGCGTGCTCGCCACGTGCACTGGTTCTAGAAGTTTTTCCCATAGCAGTACCTGTAGGGGAGTGCCCTAGCAACCCCTGGAGTGGCGCCTCTATGGTATAAGGGGCGCTGTGCTCTCCCCCCACCCTCAGTTCCTTCTTGCAGCCAGTGAAGGTGCTTTGGAACTGCTCTGCTCCAGTTTTCCTGTAGCTCATCCCCAAAACTGTTTGTTCGTTCAGTGTATGGTACCTGTAGCTAGTTAGCTGTTTAGTTTAGTAAGAGGCCCCTTGCCCCAGGTTTTAAGTCTTGTGACACTTGTAGGCAATCTATGCCACTGAGTGATCCACACGCGGACTGTCTATGCTGTTTGGCGGAAACCCATCTCAGTGATCGCTGCAAGGTTTGCAAGTCATTTAAGCTTCAGACCAAGAGAGAAACGGACATTAGGCTCTGGGCTATTCTGATGGAGTCGGCTCTGACCCCGGCGCGCCGCTCCAAGTCGGCACCGGGCACCGCGGTGTCAGTGTGCGGCGACCCTTCGGCACCATTGACTAGTTGGTACTGCTCCTCGTCCACGGGGCATGCCAAGAAGGCTAGAAAGAGGCCTCCTTCACCGCGGCACCGGAGTAAACCCGCCACACCGGAGGCAGGCGGCCCGGGATGTTATGTCCATGCCGGTACCAGGAGCAACGTCCATGTTGGCCCTGTGCTCCAGAGGCAAGCCGCCTCTTGGATCTCCGCAGTCACCCCTGGCTCGGTACCGCTCTTGGTCGAGGGAATGTTCCCGACGCTGTTCGCTGCCCAGCGACCGTTCAGGGCAAAGTCCACGTGGATCGCCCTCCACACCCACCAGGCTGTCTGGTTGAGTTCCCTCTCCAGACCTCTGAGGAAGGAGTTAGTGGGACGTACATCCTCGGCCCCATGCCCGGAGACCGACCAGGTGGTGGACCCTCTGGTGCCAGTGGACACACAAAGTACCGTGCTGGCCTCCTCACCCTCCCCGGATGAGGCGATTACGGCCCCTCCTCCCTCCATCCTGCAGGAGGACTTTAGGGCCCACCAAGAACTCTTAAAAAGGGTGGCATCAAGCCTCCACCTCCAAGCAGGGGAGATGGAGGAGCCCTCGGACTTCCTGTTTAATGTATTGTGTTCCTCGGCACTGGGCAGGGTGGCCTTGCCTCTCCACGAAGGGGTGGCGAAAATTTCAGATGCCCTGTGGCAAACCCCAGCCTCATTGGCCCCCATCTCTAAGAGAGCGGAACGCAAGTACTTTGTACCCGCCAAGGGGCATGAATACTTATACACCCACACTGCTCCTAACTCCCTGGTGGTAGAGTTGGTCAACCACAGGGAACGGCAGGGCCAACCAACCCCTACCCCGAAAAATAAAGATTCAAGTAGGCTGGACTCATTTGGAAGAAAAATGTATTTGTCCTCGAGCTTCCAGTTACAGTTGGCAAATGACCAGGCTCTCCTGGGCCGGTATGAGCTCAGTCTGTGGGGCTCCCTGCCCAAGTTAGAGGACTCCCTCCAGAAGCGCGACAGGAAGGAATTCAAAGCGCTGGTGGAGGAGGGCACAGCGGCTGCCAGGGCAACCCTGCAGGGAGCTTCGGATGCAGCAGACATGGCCATACTGTCCATGGCCTCCGCGGTGTCCATGAGAAGGGCTTCGTGGCTCCTGCTCTCTGGGCTATCCAGCGAGGCGCAGACCTCCCTGCAGGACCTCCCATTTGGTCATGGTGCAAACGTATTACTTTAAATTATGCACCAAGTGTAGTGTTCATGTGTTGTTAACAATTCAGAGCTGCTGTGTTCAGTTTTAGGGGGAAAAAAGATTTGGAATCAGGAATGCATTTTTCATTCTGCTATACACTTTAAGATGCATGAAATAAGAGGATTAAATCACTTTGTAGCATCCTTTTAAATGTAAGGGATGTCAGTCTGGTGTAAAAGGTGATTCACCATAGAGCTGTTATTTTAACATGAAAGGGCAATTTGAATTATTTTGAATTAGGAGGTAGTGATCTTGTAGTTTTAGGTCCTGGTCTGGGACTTGGGAGATCTGGGTTCAGTTCCTGGCTTTGCCACAGATTTCCTTTGTAACCATGGACAAGTCCCTTGGTCCTCCTCTTTCATACCTCAGTGTTGCTGAGGATTCATTGATGCTTGTGAGGTACTCAGATATGGCAGTGAAGGTCTTATCTAGATGTATGTATTTTGTACACTTCCCCAAACTTCCTAATCAATGCTTTTCTGCTTGTGCTGGTTGTGGTCTTTGGGTACTTTTCCTTAACAGTTGCTGGAGACACTGTCAGTACCTTAAGTATCTTAAAAAAAAAAAAAAATCGCGTTCCAGTTTCAAATTGTCCAGGAACAAATTGCAATAAAGAAGATAACTAGATATGTATTTTTGTCAATAGCTTCAGCAAAATATTGACCAGTGGATGGTATGCACCTAAATGACTTAGATGCTTTGGAAAATAAGTCCTATTGAAATGGAACTTGTGCTTCTAAGTCACTTAGGGACTTCTAAAAATGCCACCCTAGTATCTTGTCAGTTACCATGGGCAATGGGTAGGGCCGTACAAAATTCACGGCCATGAAAAATGCGTCACGGACCGTGAAATCTGGTCTCCCCCATGAAATCTAGTCTTTTGTGTACTTTTACCCTATATTATACAGATTGCATGGGGAGACCAGCATTTCTCAAAATGGGACTTCCTACTCAAAAAAGGGTTGTGGGGGCGTGGGAGGGGGTCGCAAGGTTATTGTAGGGGGGTTGTGGTATTGCCACTCTTACTTTTGCGCTGCCTTCAGAGTTGGGTGGCTGGAGAATGGCAGCTGCTGGCCAGGTGCCCAGATTTGAAGGCAATACAATACAATACCATGCCAATACCATACCATGCCACCCTTTCTGCTGTGCTGCTGCCTTCAGAGTTGGGTCAGGACCCCATCAATTACAACACTGTGAAAATTCAGATTTAAATATGAAATCATGAAATTTATGATTTTTAGAATCCTATGACCGTGAAATTGATCAAAATGGACCACAAATTTGGTAGGGCCCTAGCAATGGGTGCCTTTTGAAATGCATTTAATAAATATTTACCTTTTGTTCAGGAGTATTTTTAATCAGTAGCTGCTCTTATAATTTTTAAGAAGTTGATAGGGTCTGTAAACATTACATTACATTTCATTAATTTAAAAAAAAATTCTTTACTCAATTGTCTTTGAAGATCTAATATCACAATTCTGCTTTTCCCTTGCAACAGTTGATAACATAAGCAGCCAAAATCATCCAGGTAAATGTTGTCTACCTGTTTTTGGTTTTGAGGTTATCAACTGCTGTAAGAGGAACATTGAATCCTGAAATGGGTCCTGCAAAGAAAATGGAGGAACAAACTGGTATGTGTTAGAATACAAGATAACATATTGGCAATTATCTTTGCATTTAGTCAAAGATCACACACAGTGTTGCAGTTCTGCAATTCATCTTTTTAAGACAATATGAATCAAGTTGAGTATATTTTTAGGTGCAATCCTTGAAACATATTGTCCAGGCAGCTAGCCATGTTAACACTTAGGAGAGCTGTCCAAATGGTTGACATGCTTGTGCCTTAAATATGTATTTGTGTTCCAGAGGCCTCGTGGACAGAGAGATTCAAGTTATTATTGGGAAATAGAAGCAAGTGAAGTTATGCTCTCGACCAGAATAGGGTCAGGTTCTTTTGGAACGGTTTACAAAGGCAAATGGCATGGTAAGTACTAAAAACTTAGTTTTGTATTTTTTTTAAATGTTGATACTGTAAAATGGCAGCTATCCAGACAAAGAGAAACTCTGTAATAACACTCTGCACTTTTAGTACTTTTGGTCTGTAGATGTGCACAAAACATAAATTTTCTTGTTTAGTAACTGGTGAAACTGAGGCACAGTAAAGTCATGACTTTTCCATGGTCATGTAGCCAAGTCCATGGCAGAACTGAGAGTAGAATCCAAATCTTACAACTCCATCGTGTGTTCAATATGCTAGAACAGACTTGCCTTATTTTCTTCAATCTAATATGCGATACAATAACTTTTTTCCTGAAAAGGATATTTAGTTGCTAGCAATGGAGTTTGTATTAAGAAATTCCATATCCTGATGCTAAAGACACTAATCTAAATGAATTTTCTCCTACTGAATTTTAGCTAGCTTAGTCATCTTGGTGATCTCAGAGAAAGGAAACAAGCATGTATGACATTTGCAATGGAATTTGGATATGGATGGGAAAATATCTGTTTACATGAGTTTTACTATATGGTGCATAAAAATAGCTACAGTACTTGTAATTGCCAAGTCAATTTAGATCTCAAATGTAGGGTTTGTGTTTAAATAATAATAATAATAATAATGAAAAAAAAGCCCAAGATCAAGAGCAATTTTTCCATAGTTAAAAGAAAAATTAGATTGAAAATATTTTTAAAGGAAAAATATTCTCTGTATATTTTACAGCTCAAAAGTTGCATCGTCATAAATGAGGACTGGACAGTTAAACTGTATAGCAGTTGGTTATAAATAATTAAACTGATTAATTTTCATTGTCCAATTCAAGTGAAATATAGAAACAAACCATTATAACTGGAGAAAGTCAATTTTTAAAATGTCCTTCAATGTAAAATGTTATGAAGAATCTTTTTTGTTTTTGTTTTTTACCTGACATATGCCCTTTACTGAGTTACTTCATGGACCAGATTTTCAGGAAGTTTGGTTTTGTGATTATAAACCTTAAATATATATGTTGCGTGTGCACAATACAGGTAAAGTTATACATGAAGTCCATTATATAACAATAAATGGTTATTTGTATGCTCATCAACTAATGGGGTCTCACACTTGTGCTAGCTGCATGAGAAAATTTGCCCTATTTTTAATAGATCTTTTCAACTATACTAAATAGTAACAAAATGACTTTTTTCTCTTCAGTTATATATAAGTAAAAGTTAAATCTAGTGAGATACAACAGAAGTCACTACGTAGGATCCAGTTTGGTTCTAACTTATGTTTGTCAGTGAAATCAAAATCAGCCTTGTTTACTTGACTTAGGTCTGATTTGGGGTGTGTCACTGACTTTGTTAAACAGCTTTCTGAGAGAGCATATTTTGGCACACATCCTTTTTAATGCAGTTAAATATTGTGATCTTAAATCATTAAGATGGGTTCTTCTTCGAGTGCTTGCTCATATCGATTCCAATTAGGGTGTGCGCGCACCGCGTGAACGATCGTCGGAGAAATTTTCTACCCTAGCAACACCCGGTGGGTTGGCTGTGGAGCCCCCTGGAGTGGCGCCTTCATGGCGCTGGATATATACCCCAGCTGACCCAGCGCCCCCTCAGTTCCTTCTTACCGCCCCTGATGGTCGTTGGAACTGTGGAGCGCGGCATAGCTGTTCTCCACTCTCCCTAGCTTATCCTGTTAATTCTGTAGATAGTTGTAGTTATAGTTGTTGTATAGTTTTAGATAGTTATTCATCTTTGTTCTTAGTAGTTGTAAATAGTTAGCGGGGCTTAAGGGGGTTGTTCTCCCCCCTTTTCCCCCCGGCGCATAGCCGGGCTCATGCCCAAGGCTCCTGGCTTTAAGCCGTGCGCATCCTGCGCTAAGCCTATGCCTACGAGTGATCCGCACGACTCGTGTCTGAAGTGTCTAGGAGAGTCCCATCAGACAGATAAGTGCAAGATCTGTAAGGCCTTCAGACCGAGAACCAAAAAGGAGCGGGACTTTAGGCTTAGGCAGCTCCTCATGGAGGCACTTAGCCCGGATCCTCCCTCGGCGCGACCAGTCCCGGCACCAAGCGCCTCGGTGCGCAGCACCCCTGCGGCACCGACCGGTACTGCACCGCGGGCAGAATCGGACAAGGCCTCACGGCACTGGCCTCCTTTGGCACCGCGCCCGCCACAGGGCCCTCGGCGCCGTTCCGTGTCTCCGGGACGCAAGAAATCCCGTAAGGCGCAGGAGACTGCTGTCCTCCAGACGCCGGCTCCCCCGGTGCCGGGGGTAGAGCCGCGGCCACCTTTAGAGCGCCAGAAGCAAGTGCCTGCTGCACCGTCGACTCCGGCACCGCGGCCGTTGAGTCCGGTGCGGACTGGATCACCACCTCGGTCGGCGGTGGAGCCTTGTCTTCCGTCCACCCCAGAGACCTTCGCGACGGCGAGAGACCTTATTGCTCTCACGGAGCCGGCGCTGTCCCAACCACCGGCACTGTCGGCTCCTCGCGCAGTGCAATCCAGGGGCAAGCCTGCCCTGGTACGCCCGCTGTCTCAGGACTTGGACTCACAACACCACTCCAGGTCTCGGAGCAGGTCCCGACGCCGCTCGCAGTCCCGGCGCCGACTATCGCCTCGGCACCGGTCGTACTCGCGGCCGAGATCATCTTCGCTGCACCGGTCTACGTCTCGGCACCGTCACGATCATCGGTACCGATCGGACTCAAGACATAGTTCTCGGCACCGGTACGAGCGCCGCTCCAGTTCGAGGGGCCGCTCCCGGTACCATGTCTACTCGCGGTCGTCGTCGTCGTCTAGGTCCAGATCCGGATCTCGGCACCGATCCCGGTACCGCTCACCGGCACCGCGCAGGGACCGATCACCTGCGGACCGGCACCGTATCGTCCTGAGCCGATTCCGATGCGTTCGGCACCGCCTTGGCCCTCGAGATCAGCGTCTCGCTCCTCCGACGGGGCCTCGAGATCGGCATACCCTCCTCAGGGTCAGGCTGCTGCGGCTGACTTGGGCCACTGGCAGGAGGTGGCGGAGGACCCTGCGCAGGGACCTACGCACTGGTCGTTCTGGACTCCTTGGGCGTATCACCAGGCACAGGGGGCTCCACCATCAACCTCCCGCTCGGCACGCTCTGAGCCCAGGGTCCCGGAGGCCACCATCTCCCGTCCTCCCCCAGGGGGCATGGAGGCTCCTGTGCCTACACCACCTGAGACCTTGGACCCAGGGGCAGGCGATGCTCCGCTTCAGGGACCCTTAGAGCAGGACCCTCTGTTAGACCCCTTGCCACCTGAGGCATCCTCCTCATCTTCCCCAGATGAGGCGGTGGCGGGCACAACAGCCTCGGGCCCACCCCCGATAGATCTTCGTGCCCACCAGGACCTATTACGTAGGGTGGCGCGTAATATGGATCTCCAGGCGGAGGAGATAGTAGAGCTGCAGGACCCGGTGGTGAGCATCCTCTCGGCTGATGCCCCATCCAGGGTGGCTTTACCTCTGATTCGGACGATTCAGGCTAATGCCACTACAATATGGCAAACTCCTGCCTCTATTCCACCCACAGCTAGAGGGGTGGAAAGGAAGTACTTCGTCCCTTCCAAGGACTACGAGTACTTATATACTCATCCCCCACCGTGTTCACTGGTGGTGTCATCGGTGAATGCAAGAGAGCGCCACGGCCAGCAGGCTGCAGCGCCCAAATCGAAGGACGCTAAGCACTTCGATTTGTTCGGGCGTAAGGTGTATTCAGCGGGAGGTCTGCAACTCAGAGCGGCAAACCAGCAGGCGCTCTTGAGCCGCTACAACTTTAATTCATGGAACTCTATGGGGAAATTTAAAGAGTTGGTTCCCCAGGACTCAAGGGAAGAGTTCGGGGCCTTAGTGGAGGAGGGTAAGAAGGTGGCGAGGACCTCCTTACAAGCCTCCTTGGACATAGCGGACTCGGCCGCCAGGATGCTGGCCTCAGGTATCGCCATGCGGCGAGTTTCCTGGCTCCAGGTCTCGGGCTTGCCTCCGGAACTGCAGCAGACTCTGCAGGATTTACCCTTTGAGGGCCACGGGCTGTTCTCGGAGAAGATGGACTCTCGGCTGCAGAGCCTCAAAGACTCGAACGATCATGCGCTCCCTGGGGATGCATGTCCCAGGGCCCCAGCGCAGACCCTTTAGGCCACAGCCTCAAAGGTTCTACCCTCCCCCACCTCGTCCGAAACAGGACTTCGCCAGAAGGCGGGGACGAGGTGGTAGGCGAAGGTCGACCGGTCCTCAACCCGGTCAGAACCAGGGCCCACCTAGACCACCTTCAGGCCCTAGGCAAAACTTTTGAAGGTACGGTCGAGGACGGCGCCCCAGCCACCACCCAGGATCCAGCTCCCTCCTTTCGGGATCGCCTCTCCCGTTTCCACCGTGCTTGGTCCCTTATAACCTCCGACCGTTGGGTCCTTCGCACGGTGGAGAGGGGATACGCTCTCCAGTTTTCTTCGTTCCCCCCCCCCTCCCCGTCCCTCTTCAGGGACCCTTCTCACGAACATCTCCTTATAGAGGAGGTTTTTGGGCTCCTCTCTATGGGGGCCATAGAGGAGGTTCCGCCAGAGTTAAGGGGCAGGGGGTTTTATTCCCGCTACTTCCTGATCCCCAAGTCAAAAGGGGGTCTGCGACCCATTTTAGACTTACGCGGACTTAACAAGTTCATAGTAAAGTTGAAGTTCTGCATGGTCTCATTGGGGACTATTATCCCTTCCCTGGATCCTGGAGACTGGTTCGCCGCCCTCGACATGAAGGACGCATATTTTCACATAGCGATCTACCCTCACCCCCACAGGAGCTTCCTTCGATTTGTGGTAAACAAGGTGCACTACCAATTTGCAGTCCTTCCCTTCGGCTTCTCCGCGGCTCCCAGAGTGTTCACAAAATGTATGGCTGTCGTCGCAGCATACCTTCGTCGACAAGGGATACAGGTGTTCCCGTACTTAGATGACTGGCTGGTACGCGGCCGCACCAGAGAGCAAGTTCAAGCTCACGTCCACATAATAGTACAAACATTCCACGAGTTGGGCATTCTACTCAACAAAGGGAAGTCCACTCTAGAGCCAACCCAGAGGATAGAATTTATTGGGGCAGTCCTAGACTCCAGACGTGCCCGAGCTATTCTACTAGACAATCGCTTCCATACCATCACAAGCATCATTCGAGGACTCAGGGCCTTTCCGATTACCACGATAAGGACATGCCTTGCCCTATTGGGTCACATGGCCTCTTGTACTTATGTAACCAGACACGCCAGACTTCGACTTCGCCCACTGCAGGCCTGGATATCGTCAACGTACTGCCCTCATCGACGCAGCCTAAACATGGTGGTCACGATCCCGACCTTGGTCCTGGCCTCTCTCACCTGGTGGCTGGACCGCAAGGAGGTTTGCGCAGGAGTGCCGTTCCACGCCCCTCAACCCTCCCTGCACCTGGTTACGGACGCCTCATCTCTAGGTTGGGGCGCTCACCTCGGGGAGCACCATACCCAGGGATTGTGGACCGCACCCCAACTAGCCCTGCACATCAATGTTTGAGAGCTGATGGCGGTGCGCCTGGCGTGCCAGGCATTTCTCAGTCTCCTACAGGGCCGTTGCGTGTTAGTCCTCACCGACAACACCACGGCCATGTTTTACATCCACAAGCAAGGAGGAGCCCGCTCATCGCTTCTATGCCAAGAGGCCATTCGCCTGTGGGACTTCCGCATTGCCCACTTGATACATCTCACGGCATCGTTCCTTCCTGGAGTCCAGAACACGCTAGCGGACCATCTCAGCAGGTCCTTCCAGACACACGAGTGGTCAATTCGCCCGGAAATCATCTATTCCGTCTTCCAGAGGTGGGGATTTCCCCAGGTCGACCTGTTTGCATCTCGAGCCAACAGGAAGTGCCACGCGTTCTGCTCCCTTCAAGGGCGATCTCTGGACTCTCTGTTGGACGCGTTCCTTCTATCCTGGAAAGACCACCTGTTCTACGCTTTCCCTCCATTTCCACTGGTTCACAGGGTACTGCTCAAGCTACGCAGAGACCAGGCACGGGTAATTCTAGTCGCCCCAGCTTGGCCAAAGCAGTACTGGTACACCACACTGTTGGAGCTATCGGTTCAAACAGCGATCACACTTCCCCTGTGTCCAGATCTCATCTCTCAGGACCAGGGCCGACTATGTCACCCCGACCTGCAATCGCTCCACCTCATAGTGTGGATGCTCCATGGCTGAATCGGACAGAGCGGCAATGCTCACATTCCGTCCAACAGATTCTGCTGGGAAGTAGAAAGCCCTCTACACGGACCACTTATGTAGCCAAGTGGAAACGCTTTTCCTGTTGGTGTGAGCAGAGAGCCACGCCCCCCTTGCAGGCGCCTATTCCTCTTATACTTGAATATCTCCTATCCCTAAAACAGCAGGGCTTGGCGATATCTTCAATCAGGGTTCACCTGGCCGCTATTTCGGCGTTCCACCCAGGAGAACTCGCTTCCTCGCTCTTCTCGAACCCGATGGTTGCTAGATTCCTCAAGGGCTTAGACCGACTGTACCCACAGCAACGCCAGCCCGTTCCGACGTGGGATCTCAACCTTGTTCTCTCCAAGCTCACAGGGCCTCCGTTCGAGCCATTGGCTACCTGTTCACTCCTGTACCTATCCTGGAAGACAGCCTTCCTTGTAGCCATCACCTCAGCAAGGCGCGTTTCTGAACTCAGGGCGCTTACGTCCGAGCCCCCATACACTGTTTTCCATAAGGACAAGGTGCAGCTTTGCCCCCACCCTGCCTTTCTTCCCAAGGTAGTCTCACCTTTTCACGTGAACCAGAATATATTTCTCCCGGTCTTCCATCCTAAGCCACACGCTACTCGCCAAGACCAGGGTTTGCATTCCTTGGACGTACGCAGGGCCCTGGTTTTCTATATTGATCGTACAAAGCCGTTTAGGAGGATGACACAACTCTTTGTTGCAGTGGCCGACCGGATGAGAGGCTCACCGGTCTCCTCACAGTGCCTGTCCTCTTAGATCACGTCCTGTATTCGTGCTTGCTACGACCTGGCCGGCGTCCCGACGCCGCACCTCACCGCTCACTCCACGAGGGCCCAGGCCTCCTCGACTGCCTTCCTGGCTCAAGTTCCGATCCAGGACATTTGTAGAGCTGCAGTTTGGTCGTCAGTCCACACATTCGCCGCTCACTATGCGCTGGTACAGCAATCCAGAGACGATGCTGCATTCGGATCAGCGGTTTTGCACACAGCGATGTCTCTCTCCGACCCCACCACCTATGTAAGGCTTGGGAGTCACCTAATTGGAATCGATATGAGCAAGCACTCGAAGAAGAAAAGACGGTTACTCACCTTTGTAACTGTTGTTCTTCGAGATGTGTTGCTCATATCCATTCCAAACCCGCCCCCCTTCCCCACTGTCGGAGTAGCCGGCAAGAAGGAACTGAGGGGGTGCTGGGTCGGCTGGGGTATATATCCAGCGCCATGAAGGCGCCACTCCAGGGGGCTCCACAGCCGACACACCGGGTGTTGCTAGGGTAGAAAATTTCTCCAACGATCGTGCATGCGGCGCGCGCACACCCTAATTGGAATGGATATGAGCAACACATCTTGAACAACAGTTACAAAGGTGAGTAACCGTCTTTTATTTTCCTTTGAATCTTTTTCTGTGTAGGTTTGAGGAAACAGCAACACGGGCCTCTCTGTCAAACTGTTTTGATAGTATAATCATTGCACTAAAAGCTTCCAAGCAGGAGCTAAATAAAAGGAGCCAAAATGGGCAGATTGCTGTAACCTAAATCATGTTTCCAGACCAAGCTAGAGGCACCATAAGCGTTGCTGATTTGTTCAAGAATAGGGGTGTGATGATTTGGGGAATCTGTACAATTTATGAATTCTGGTTGATACTAATGAAGTTGTTTATAAAATTGCTGCATCAGGGAGTGCCTCTATTTGGCTGTGGAATCTACCATTTGCTGACATGGGCTGAAGCATCCATGTACCAGACAAAGGACTATGGAGAGTCGATAAACTTAAATATCTGTACTCTGATTGAACCGTTGGCATACTATGGAGATTAGCTGGAGCTGGGAGAAGATACTCCAACTTGTCTTTAGCATCTGGTGAAGTGGAGAGTGAGGAAGAAAAATTAGCAACAGAACAAAGGAACTGGTGGGGAAGGGTAGGAGGACATCTACATTTGAGAGCCTCATTGAGACTGGAACTGGAAGCTTTGGACAGGCGAGGGGAAAAGAGAGGCATGCTTTCGTAGCAGGGTTGCCCTGTTTAGCTATGGAGCAGCCACGCTCAGAGAAAACTAGCTGAGCTGAAAGACTCCCATGCTTCAGAAGAAAAGTTGAGAACTGCTGGGGAAGTATCCTGGGCACCCCAAACGACTGCCCGAGCCTAAAAAACTCTCCAGAGTGGTGAGGAAACTGAGGCAGGAGAAATGTGTATTCCATCTAGATTTGTGTTAACTTATGCTGTTAAGGAAAGAACAATGGTGTGTTAGATAGATTTGGCACAAGATTCTGTGTGTCTGCTGGCTTTAACTTTGCATGGGCCTAAAGAGGTAAACTGTAAATCAAGAGTGCCCACACAGCTCAAGTTCTGGCAGAGCATGTGTTTAAGCTACAGTACAGATTCTTGGAAGATGGTGCTATAATAGAGGATCTGTATCTTGAGAGTGTTCGTAGAGACTCCAAGCCAGGATGGTGCCTGGACTGTGTTGAAATTCTGGAGGCTTAAAGCACCCAGGGCCCAGCAATCCAAAGCAGGTGCTCACATTCAAGTTAATTTGAATTCACTTTTCAAGTAATATTTTGCAATATGCTGTATCAAATGGTTAAAGAACTGATGCACTATTATGCTTCATTTGTCACTAACTGTAATTCAAACATTAAAATCATCGTTTATTCTGCTGTTCTCTAGACATTAATTTTGAGAGGATGAAAGTCTAATTCTATTAATTCAAAAGAGGAGATATTTTTCTGTACTAAAACTGGGAAGAGGGAAGAGAATTGAGAATTTGGGTTCCTGATGGAAATCTGTTGAATACAGTGGATACAGTGCTTGAAACAAAGTGCTGAGGATGCATTTCTCCCCAAATAGCTCTTATTTAGAAAAACAACTTAATTGATTCCCGCTAGATTAATAACTAAACTGTTTATACCTTCAGATTTCAGTATGTTGTACAGTGGCCTTTGTTTAATATCACACATGTGGTCCCATCAGCCAGTTACTAGCCATTTAATAATGAAAAAACCTTTTCAAGTAGTTAGAAAAATGATTGATCTTTTATTTGGGATTACATGATACCATCTCCACCAAATTAATTGTATGAAAATACAGAAGTCTGTTTTGTCTGTGGACCTCCCGGTGTCCAAATTACCAATTTCTGTATTGTGCAGAAATTTCAGAATTTTTAAGTGTAGCGGTGATAATGCTCCTCTAAAAGACTGTTACAGTGTTGTTGGTAACCTTTATGTTAAATGTATTTGCAGGAGATGTAGCAGTAAAGATATTAAAGGTTGTAAATCCAACCCCAGAACAGTTTCAGGCTTTCAGAAATGAAGTGGCTGTATTAAGGTGAGCTGATAACATGGGTTTGCATAATTTTGCATTTACTAATTTTAACGCATTTTTGACCCTTCCAAAAGTGAATGTCACAGGTTGAATTAATTTTCTGTATAGTAAGTGGTACAGTGTTTCCTGCTATGGACTGTAAATTTACTGTCTTTTGAGTGCCACCTTATCACATGGTGCAGGATAATAGAGATACTGATCAGTTTTGAGACCTTTATAATTTTTAATACCTCATTCATTATCCGTTGAACTCTTCTTTCTAAGCTAAATAGTATTAACATTTGTAATCCCTTGTCATATATGAACCTTGCCATAATTTTGTTGCCATTCTCTGGAACTCTTAAATCTCATCACCTTTTAGGTAGGGTGATGGATACTGGACAGAATATTTGAGATTAAGGTGTGCCTTTTTGTTATAACATCATAGTATTTTCTGTACTTTTAAAATCCATTCCCTAGTCAACTCAGGAAACCTCTTTGCTTTAATTACTGCCTGTGCAGTTTCCAATAATTAAGAGCCATTTTATGTATATGGGAATAGCTTTTTTTGCCTCCATTTAATTATTTTACGCTACACAAGTTAAATTTGTCTGCCATCATGCTGCATAATGCTCCACTGTATTTAAATCTGTCATTTTTTCATGTCTCCGTAGTCTTTTCTGTGAACCAGAACAATTTAATGTCATCTGCAAACTGCAGCTTGACCTTTTGATACCATTTCAATTAACCTTTCCAAAGTACTTTAACATAGAAGAGAGGGATAATTTGCCTTTACGGAAGCTGTAGTAGTTTGATTCTGTCACGTTATATTTAAGTATTGTATTAATCTGTCTTTACTTGAACTCTGAAATAACTTTCTTGAAACTAAGAAAAAACATTTTAAAGTTAATAATTGGTTGTTTTTTTTAAAAAAAATGCCTGCTAACTTTCCTGTTTTTAAGAGGTAATTGTGATATGTTGTTTTCTAAAAATAACATCTTGCACACATGCATCCACATGTTCCTCAAATAATTTTGTTAAACTCTAGATCTAAATACTTTGATGTCTCCTTAGCCAAGAATACATTTCAGGGAACTTAACAAATGTTTAAAAGAAGATGTTTGTTCTTTTCCTTTCCACTTCTTCCATTAGGAAGACCCGACATGTTAATATTTTGCTGTTCATGGGCTACATGACTAAAGACAATCTGGCTATTGTTACGCAGTGGTGCGAAGGGAGCAGTCTGTATAAGCACTTGCATGTACAAGAGACCAAGTTCCAAATGTTCCAGCTCATTGATATTGCCCGACAGACAGCACAAGGAATGGAGTGAGTAGGATTAGAAATTGTCTATTCTGATCTGCCGATCTTCTTCAGGAGCAACTAATACATACAAGAAACATTGTCTTAATGTATAGTATATATTAACATGATACCAAACCCTCAAAGAGTTACAGTAGAACCTCAGAGTTACGAACAGTTCGGGAATGGAGGTTGTTCGTAACTCTGAACAAAACAAAACATTATGGTGGTTCTTTTCAAAGTTTTCAACTGAACATTGACTTAATACAAATTTGAAACTTTACTATGTAGAAGAAAAATGCTGCTTTCCCTTTCTTTTTTTTTTTTAGTAATTTACGTTTAACACAATACTGTCCTGTATTTGCTCTTTTTTTGGGTCACTGCTGCTTGATTGTGTACTTCTGGTTCCAAATTAGGGGTGTGTGGTTGACTGGTCAGTTCGTAACTCTGAGGCTCTACTGTATACAAATTATTAGGGAAGATAATGTTGACTGGGGACTGAAAGACTGAATAACATTTCTGAAATTTTAATGTTTCAAAGCTTCTTAAAAATACAATTAAAAATCCTTCTGGTCATATAATTTTAAAATGTAAATTTGTATTATACACAAAAAATTAGAGAAAAATAGTATGTAATCAAAGACAGTATCTTAATGCATATGCACAAGACGATTGAATTAAGGTTGCATGGGAAATCTTAATTCTGGCATTTCCTAATGTTTGAGTGCCCGATTCTGCAAATTTAATATTTTTCTAATGTAGGTTTTTTTTTTTTTTTTTTTTGTAATATCCAAGGCTTTTAAAAAGGCAAACTGAAAAAACAAAGTCCACCGTGTGGCATTATATTGATACATGTGTGTTCTCAGCAGCGGTGGAACTTTTAGATCTACCACTCAGATCTCTGCCACTTGAGCTAATGGAGTAACTAGTAGCAGTAATAGGTTCTCCTCTATGTGCACCAGCACTAGAGGAGGTGGAGCACAGGCTTTGCCATGGGGTTTCACAGATATTTGCTGACACCAAAGGAAATTGTTTCTAGTAGTCAGAGACTCTTCTACCCCATCCCCTCCAGCCTGTGCCTGTCCTGTCTCTGTCCCACCTCAGTCCATTCTGTTTGCCTAACCAGTCCACACTTCTCATGCTTCTCGTCCGAGTATGGTTACCCAGCCAGTCTTAGTCTCCCTGTGTGAGTTCTACTGAAAATCAAATATTTTTCTCTATATAAAAATGGATCTTAAACTAGTAACCCTTTATGTAATAAAAATTAACAAGTTAAATTGATTTAAAAACAAAGTGAAATATATTTACAGTTTTTGCTAGGCATATAGTTGTAAATTTTGGCTCAGAATAAATTTTAAAACCAAATTGTAAGCAACTAAAATAATTAATGTAGAAAATCCCTGCAGTTTCTTATATATTTACAGTGGTGCCAGTATGCCTTTATAATTATCTGTCAGCACGGATTGCAGGAAGATTACAGTAAGTCTAAAAATTCTTGACAATGCTGTGTGAGTTTTAGATAATCTTTTCTTTCTTGCTCTTAAATCTGAGATACCAGATAACACTGTCATACAGCCTTTCAGAGATGGGGGCAGTTCAAATATTACACACATCGCTAATTACAAACTTATTGAAAATGTTTGTTTTGCTTTGCAGAGAAGAAGCTGGAAGATATAGTTTAACCTTTAGTTTATCGACAGACAATTTTAAGCTGATTTCAACCTCACTAGTGTAATTTTGGGTTGATGTAGGTTAATGGAATGCAATATTAGGTAAAGATAATTTTACATTAGTGGTGAGCTGCATCCCTTTCTATGGCGGTTCTAAAAGAAAAGATACTGACCAATTCATGTGGAAAGGAATGACACAATTCTTGTAATATTTTCTCATTATTGAAGGCAAATGTTGATACATAAACAGCAAATGGAGCATAAGCATAAAAATAGCTTTATGAAGAACCTACAGAAATGATGGTTATTTTCTCTTTTTAGTCTTGTGGACTGGTAAAATTAAATACACGCTATCAAGCCAAAGGGCATTTAGCACCAAGTTTTAAGTTTAGAACAAGTTGAACTATGGCCCTAAAACACTTAGTGGTAAAATTTTATAATTTATTCAGGAAGCTTTTGTAAAAAAATTTATTTAGACTAATTTTGGTTTGCCAAATTAGTATGTATAAATAAATAACAATGGATATATTTTTTAAAACTTTTTTTTCTTTTCACAGCTATTTACATGCAAAGAATATCATCCACAGAGACATGAAATCAAATAGTATCCTTTCTCTAATTAGTCAAATTTCCTTTAACTGTTTAAATTGGTATCAGACTGACGACTGAATATAAATACTGTGAAGGTCTTTCTGTGAAATTGAAACATCCTAGTTAAAATTACAATTTAAAAACAAACCAAACCAAAACCCGGTAAAGATTTATGGAATATATATTTATACACTTACTCTTTCTTACCTGTGTTCATATGCAATCTTGGGATGCAAACCTGATCTATTTTAATCTAATTGACTGACTTTCAATATATCCCCCGCTTCGAAAGATTATTTAGGACAGAAATTAGACTCTTCTTTTGATTACTTTCATATGGGATTAGATGACCAAAAACACAAAAAAGATGGAAACTTTTGGTGGAAACTGAGCCAAAAATCTTCTTGATTCTAAAATTGGGAAAGGAAAATGTATAATGAACTTGACTAATATGTTCCTAGCAGCATACTTATTGAATAATTCATACTGAATAAAGATTCTGCAGTTTCCTTTTGCATGTCACTTTTATTTTCTTGATATGTGAGGCTTATGTGTAGGTAATTTTAAAAAAATGTCTATTCTAGGAGTTCAGTTTATGAACTGAATATATGGCAAGTCTCTGGTTTATGAACTTTAGGCAAGTCTCTGGCTTTGAAACTACCAAGCAGAATGTTGACTGAAATTGGCAAAATAACAAACTGAAACTTGCCTCAGAAGAATGTGGGGGGGGGGGGGGGGAACTGTTTTCTTAAAGGGCAGAATTTCTACAAAACTAACTTCAGTTGTTCAGTAAACAAATGAGTGTTCATGTTTTCAATGAGGATGAAAGACTAATCATTTTAAGTGTAAAATTGCTGCTGTTACATTTATAATCGCAACTATCTTTTATTTCATTAACTTATTTCAGTCTGCTTTTCCTCTCAAGTTCACTAGATATCATAAGAAGAGTAAGGGATATCTCTTTCTGACACATCTATAGAATCTTTCAGAATATTACTTTTTTTTAGTCAATTCTTGAATTAGATTTTGAAGTGTTTTTTCCTTCTGGAACAATACCACTACTAAAGGACATGTTGGAGCTGTTAATGATGGGTATACTGTATAAGGCTTATATCCCATGCTACAAACTGTAGAGCTCCCAATTGAGTGGCATTCCTAAATTAAGCCTCTTGGCACACACCCCCAACAATGAGCACCAGATAGATAAGTTTAATCTGGTTTCTGTTTCCAGTGATAAATGCTTCCACTTATTTTGAATTCTGTGATAAACTGTGTGCTTTATTCATCTACTTAGGTATATATGCAGATACAGACATAAACTATTGAGAGTTATGATCTAAACTTAGCTATGGTAGAGGTGAAAGGCTAATTACTCCAGGGGGAATTCTGCACCACTGCATGTGCATAATTAATGAGCCACACATTTTTTTAATTTTTTTGCACAGAAAAAAGCTTCCACTGGAAAGTTGCTGCAATTCCACCTTTTGCACACCAGAGGGTACTGTGGCACTAGAACAGAGCAGCCGCTCCCGGCCAGCTGGGGAAGAGAGAGAGCCTGCCTTCTTCACAGTGCCTATTGGGCTAGGTCAGGAGACGGGCTATGGGGAGACAGTCCGCACGGGGCTGCTGGGGGATCAGACGAGCTCATAAGGACTACTGGGGGAGGACAGACTGGGGCAGGGGCTGAATGGGAGTGGAGGTGCAGGGTCACATGGTGATGGGGTAGAGGGTACAGGGCCACATAGGGATGGCGGTGGCTGAGTGGGAGCACAGAGACACATGGGGATGGGGGAGGGAGTGTCTGGGGGTAAAGGGACACGTGGACAAGGGGTGCAAGGACACATGGGGATGGGGGGAGTGGGTGTCTGAGTGGGGGTGGAGGGACACATGTGGACGGGGCAGATGTCTGAACAGGAGAGACTAGGGGTCAGTCATGGTCTGCATGGGGGAAGCTCCCTAACAATCCCTCCCTGCCCCCCCAAATAAACCTGTTCCATACTTCTCCCACCCAAACCCAACAACCCTCCAAGTTCACACTCAGGCTCCTTCCCAACAATTACTTTCCTCTCCCATAGCTCCTCTGTTACCCCTGACTCCCCCAAGCCTTTGCACTGCTTCTGAGGGGTGTGGGAAATATGGTTCTTCTTCGAGTGCTTGCTCATATCCATTCCAGTTAGGTGTGCGCGCGCCGCGTGCACGATCGTCGGAAGATTTTTGCCCTAGCAACCCCGGTGGGTCGGCTGTGGAGCCCCCTGGAGTGACGCCGTTATGGCGCTGGATATATACCCCAGCCGACCCAGCGCCCCCTCAGTTCCTTCTTACCGCCCCTGACGGTCGTTGGAACTGTGGAGCGCGGCATAGCTGATCTCCACTCTCCCTAGCTTTCTCATTCTCATTAGTGTAGATAGTTGTATATAGTTGTTATAGTTCTTTAGATAGTTAGTTGTTTAGTTCTTGTTTAGTTGTAAATCGTTAGCGGGGGTTTAGGGGGTTGTCTCCCCCCTTTTCCCCCCCGGCGCACAGCCGGGCTCATGCCCAAGGCTCCTGGCTTTAAGCCGTGCGCGTCCTGCGGGAAGCACATGCCAACAAGCGACCCGCATAGCTCCTGCTTGAAGTGCCTTGGGGAGGCCCATCCCGCAGATAAGTGCCCTATCTGCAAGGCCTTCAAGCCGAGGATGAAGAAGGAGCGAGATTTCAGGCTCCGACAGCTCCTGATGGAGGCGGCTCTGAGTCCGGACCCTCCTTCGGTGTGCAGCGTCCCGGCACCGAGCACTTCGGTGCACAGCGCCCCGGCACCGAGCGCTTCCGTGCGCAGCGCCCCGGCGGCTCCGACCGGTGCGACGGATAAACCACAGCACCGACCGACGTCGGCACCGCGCCCGCCTCAGGGGCCTCGGCGCCGATCGCTGTCTCCGGGCCACAAGAAGGTCCGCAAGACCCAGGACACGGCTGCGCCGAAGACGCCAGCTCCCTCGGTGCCGGGGGTAGAGCCACGTCCGCCGTTGGACCGCCCACAACAGGCGGCCCCACCGTTGACTCCGGCACCGAGGCCGTCGAGTCCGGTGCGGACTGTTTCCCCACCTAGGCTGGTGGTGGAACCTTGTCTCCCGTCCACCCCGGAGACTTTTGCAACGGCACGGGACCTGATTGCCTTCACCGAACCGGGGCCGTCACACCTCCCGGCACCGGTTGCTCCGCGCCAGCTGCAGTCCAGGGGCAAGCCTGCCCTGCTGCTCCCGCCGTCTCCAGCTCCAGACTTGCGGCACCGTTCGAGGTCCAGGAGCACGTCCCGACGCCGCTCGGAGTCCCGGCGCCGAATGTCACCTCGGCACCGGTCGTACTCGCGGCACCGATCACCTTCACGACGCCGTTCCAGATCCCGGCACCGTCGCGACGACCGGCACCGCTCGGGCTCGAGGCGGAGCTCCCGGCACCGGTATGAGCGCCGCTCGGGCTCGAGAGGCCGCTCCCGGTACCAGGCCTCCTCAAGATCTTCGTCCCGCTCCAGATCGGGCTCTCGGCACCGAAGAGACTACCGGCACCGAGCCCGATCTAGATCTCGGCACCGTTCCCCGGCACCGGGCAGGGACAGATCGCCCTACGACCGGCACCGATCGGCACCGTACCATCCGGTGCCAGTGTCAGTGCGCTCGGCACCGCCGTGGCCATCGAGGTCGGCTTCCCGTTCCTCGGATGCGGAGGCCACCCACCTGCAGGAGACGGCGGAGGACCCTACGCAAGCTCCTGCGCATTGGTCCTTCTGGACGCCGTGGGCCTACCATCAGGCGCAGGGCGCCCCTCCTTCTGCGTCCCGCTCGGCACGCTCCGAGCCCAGGGTCCCGGAGGCCACCATCTCCCGCCCTCCACCAGGTGGTATGGAGGCGCCAGTGCCCACTCCGGTGGAGGCCCTGGTCCCAGGGGCTGCTGATGTTCACCTACAGGAGCACCTGGAGCAGGAACCACCCTTGGACCCCTTGCCACCGGGGGGATCCTCCTCCTCCTCCCCCGATGAGGCTGTAGCGGGCACATCCGCCATGGGTCCGCCTCCTATTGACCTGCGAGCGCACCAGGACCTCTTGCGAAGGGTGGCACGCAATATGGACCTCCAAATGGAGGAGATTGTGGAGGTTCACGACCCCATTGTAAACATCCTATCAGCGGACGCTCCCTCTCGGCCTATTCAAGCCAATGCCACCACCATCTGGCAAACCCCGGCCTCGATTCCACCCACGGCCAGAGGGGTGGAGCGGAAGTACTTTGTTCCCTCCAAAGACCATGAATACCTCTATACTCATCCCCAGCCGTGCTCACTGGTCGTATCATCGGTGAATGCACGGGAGCGCCATGGCCAGCAGGCCGCTGCGCCCAAGTCGAAGGACGCTAAGCGCTTCGACTTGTTCGGACGCAAGGTCTACTCTGCGGGGGGGCTCCAACTCCGAGCGGCTAACCAACAGGCGCTCCTGAGCCGCTACTCCTTCAACTCCTGGTCCTCGATGGGGAAATTCAAGGAGCTGGTTTCCCAGGAATCGAGGGAGGAGTTTGGGGCTTTGGTAGAGGAGGGTATGCGGGTGGCGCGCACCTCCTTACAAGCCTCGCTTGACATTGCGGACTCGGCAGCTAGGACCCTGGCTTCGGGGATAGCCATGCGGCGACTCTCCTGGCTCCAGGTGTCTGGCTTGCCACCAGAGCTGCAGCAGACGCTACAAGATCTGCCGTTTGAGGGCCAGGGACTCTTCTCAGAGAAGACTGACGCGAGGCTCCAAAACCTCAAGGACTCGCGGACAATGATGCGCTCCCTGGGGATGCATGTCCCGGGGCCTCAGCGCAGACCCTTCCGGCCGCCGCCGCAGAGATTTTACCCTCCCCCGCCTCGTCCTAGACAGGACTTTGCCAGGCGGCGGGGTCGAGGAGGCAGGCGGAGGTCGAACGGCCCTCAACCTGGTCAAAACCAGGGACAGCCTAGGCCACCTTCAGGGCCTAGGCAAAACTTTTGAAGGTGCGGTCGAGGACGGCACCTCGGCCTGTATCCAGGATCCGACTCCCCCCTTCCGGGATCGCCTCTCCCGCTTCCACCGTGCTTGGTCCCGTATAACCTCGGACCGTTGGGTCCTTCGCACGGTGGAGAGGGGATACGCCCTCCAATTTTCCTCGCCCCCCCCCACTCCCCCTCCCCGTCCCTCTTCAGGGACCCCTCTCACGAGCAACTCCTTACACAGGAGGTTTTTGGGCTCCTTGCTATGGGGGCCATAGAGGAGGTTCCATCGGAGCTAAGGGGCAGGGGGTTTTACTCCCACTACTTCCTGATCCCCAAGTCAAAAGGGGGTCTACGGCCCATCTTAGACTTGCGCGGACTCAACAAATTCATAGTAAAGTTGAAGTTCCGCATGGTATCATTGGGGACCATCATCCCTTCACTGGATCCTGGTTCGCCGCCCTCGACATGAAGAACGCTTATTTTCACATAGCGATCTATCCGCCTCACAGGCGCTTCCTGCGATTTGTAGTAAGCACAATGCACTACCAATTTGCAGTCCTTCCCTTCGGCTTGTCTTCGGCTCCCAGAGTGTTCACAAAGTGTCTGGCAGTCGTCGCGGCCTTCCTTCGTCGACAAGGGATACAGCTGTTCCCGTACTTGGACGACTGGCTGGTACGCGGCCGCACCAGGGACCAAGTGCAGGCTCATGTCCGCATGGTGACACACACTTTCCACGAGTTGGGCATTCTACTCAACAGAGAAAAGTCCACCCTGGTACCAACTCAGAGGATAGAGTTTATCGGAGCAGTCCTGGACTCCAGACGCGCCCAAGCCATCCTCCCCGACAGCCGCTTTCATACCATCCTAAGCGTCATTCAAGGACTCAGGACTTTTCCAATCACCACCTTAAGAACTTGCCTTGCCCTTTTGGGCCACATGGCCTCGTGCACCTACGTAACCAGGCACGCCAGGCTACGACTTCGCCCACTGCAGGCTTGGCTGTCATCGGTCTACCGTCCTCATCGAGACGACCTGAATATGGTGGTCACGGTTCCGGCCTCGATCCTGGCCTCCCTCACCTGGTGGACGGATCGTACGGTGGTCTGTGCAGGAGTACCCTTTCACGCCCCACAACCCTCCCTCCACCTAGTCACGGATGCTTCATCTCTAGGATGGGGCGCTCACCTCGGAGAGCACCATACCCAGGGCCTCTGGTCCGTGGCCCAACTAGCCCTCCACATCAACGTCAGAGAGCTGATGGCGGTGCGCCTAGCTTGCCAGGCGTTCCTCAACTTCCTACAGGGCTGTTGCGTGTTGGTTCTCACCGACAACACCACGGCAATGTTCTACATCAACAAGCAAGGCGGAGCCCACTCATCGCTCCTATGTCAAGAGGCCATTCGCCTGTGGGACTTCTGCATCGCCCACTCGATACATCTTACGGCATCGTTCCTTCCTGGAGTCCAGAATACGCTGGCGGACCGTCTCAGCAGGTCCTTCCAGACACACGAGTGGTCAATTCGCCCGGACGTCATCTATTCCGTCTTCCAGAGGTGGGGATTTCCCCAGGTCGACCTCTTCGCATCTCGGGCCAACAGGAAGTGCCAGGTATTCTGCTCCCTGCACGGACGAGCCCCGGGCTCTCGGTCAGACGCCTTCCTTCTAACATGGAAGGACCACCTGTTCTACGCCTTCCCTCCATTTCCGCTGGTCCACAGGGTACTGCTCAAGATCCGCAGGGATCATGCACGGGTGATTCTAGTCGCCCCCGCTTGGCCGAGGCAACACTGGTACACCACACTGCTGGAACTTTCAGTACGAACGCCGATCACGCTCCCCTTGAGTCGGGACCTCATCTCCCAGGACCATGGCCGGTTGTGTCACCCCGACCTACAGTCTCTCCACCTCACGGCGTGGATGCTCCATGGTTGAGTCGGACAGAGCGGCAGTGCTCGCAGGCCGTCCAGCAGGTTCTGCTGGGAAGTCGAAAGCCCTCTACGCGGACCACTTATCTAGCCAAGTGGAAGCGGTTCTCCTGTTGGTGTGAGCAACGAGCTACTTCTCCCTTGCAGGCACCTATCCCCTGCATACTGGAATACCTCCTGTCCCTAAGACAGCAAGGCTTGGCAACATCCTCAATCAAGGTTCACCTCGCCGCTATTTCCGCTTTCCACCCAGGAGAACTCACGTCCTCGGTCTTCTCTAACCCGATGGTCGTTAGATTCCTCAAGGGCTTAGACCGGCTGTACCCACAGCAACGACAGCCGGTTCCGACGTGGGACCTCAACCTCGTGCTCTCCAGGCTCACAGGGCCTCCGTTTGAACCATTGGCGACCTGCTCACTCCTGTACTTATCCTGGAAGACAGCCTTCCTCGTAGCCATCACCTCAGCACGACGCGTCTCGGAACTCAGGGCGCTGACATCCGAGCCCCCTTACACGGTGTTCCACAAGGACAAGGTGCAGCTTCGCCCCCACCCTGCCTTTCTTCCAAAAGTGATCTCACCTTTTCACGTAAATCAGGACATATTCCTCCCAGTCTTCCATCCGAAGCCGCACGCTACTCGTCAAGACCAGCGTTTGCATTCCTTAGACGTTCGCAGGGCCCTGGCTTTCTATATCGACCGTACAAAGCCATTTAGGAAGACGACGCAACTCTTCGTTGCAGTGGCCGACCGGATGAAAGGATCACCGGTCTCTTCATAGTGCCTGTCCTCTTGGATTACGTCCTGCATTCGTGCTTGCTACGACCTGGCCGGTGTACCGACGCCACACCTCACTGCTCATTCCACGAGGGCCCAGGCCTCCTCGACTGCCTTCCTGGCTCAAGTACCGATCCAGGACATTTGTAGAGCTGCAGTGTGGTCATCGGTCCACACATTTGCTACTCACTATGCACTGGTGCAACAATCCAGAGACGATGCTGCTTTCGGGTCAGCGGTTCTGCACACAGCAATGTGTCACTCCGACCCCGCCTCCTAGGTGGGGGCTTGGGAGTCACCTAACTGGAATGGATATGAGCAAGCACTCGAAGAAGAAAAGACGGTTACTCACCATTGTAACTGTTGTTCTTCGAGATGTGTTGCTCATATCCATTCCAAACCCGCCCCCCTTCCCCACTGTCGGAGTAGCCGGCAAGAAGGAACTGAGGGGGCGCTGGGTCGGCTGGGGTATATATCCAGCGCCATAACGGCGCCACTCCAGGGGGCTCCACAGCCGACCCACCGGGGTTGCTAGGGCAAAAATCTTCCGACGATCGTGCACGCGGCGCGCGCACACCTAACTGGAATGGATATGAGCAACACATCTCGAAGAACAACAGTTACAACGGTGAGTAACCGTCTTTTCTGTACTGTAGTTTAAATGAATTATTACTCCGAGTTCTGTATTAATATGAGTAGTAAGGAATCTATTTGTCAAAAAACATTTCCTGAATCTTTTTTGTTGTCTGTATTGTTAGAGACATACTTGCTGACAGATATTTTGAAATAAATGACCAAAAATAATTGAAACTGGTGTGATTATATAGTGTTATTTTGACAAATAAAATATGCAGAATTTTTCAGAATTTGAAAATATTGTCTGCAGAAACTTTAATTTTTTGTTTCAGCATTCTTAATTTTTTGGCGCAGAATTCCCCCAGGAGTAGCTAGTACACTAAACAATAATACTGAGCTGTCTCATAGTTATTCCAGCCCCTCTGCTAAAATATTTGCATTTTCCCTGAGTGTTAGCTATGTTAGTGTAGGCATAATAAATATGAATAAAATGAAAGGCGAATGATTTGGGATTATATTTATCTCAAAACTAGGAAAATGTTTTTTAACTACTACCTATTGAGGTCATGCATGAAGTGAATCAGATCAAATACAGAAACTGGGCAAAACTCTTTGCACACTGACTGGTATATGAGAAACACTAAACCATTTTGTAAAGGTGATAGAAAATCGAGTCTGATTTACACAAATTTTCTTCAGAAGTTCCTAAACAACCTTTTAGATATATTTCTTCATGAAGGCCTCACAGTGAAAATAGGAGATTTTGGTCTGGCAACAGTAAAATCCAGATGGAGCGGATCTCAGCAGGTGGAGCAGCCTTCTGGTTCAATCCTCTGGATGGTAAGAAAAATACTTGATGATTTTTTAAATTCTGCCTCGTTTGTGTGCAAATTCAAATTGTTTTGTCAATGGGAGAATAATGTGATTCAAACTGTTTTGACAAAGTAATATTAAAATTCTTTTGACAATAATATGCAAAATTATACCTTAAATAAAACAAAGGGAAATTGCAAAAAAAAATATATATATATATATATATAAAAAATTGCTTTGGTTAATTAGTTCCTAGTTAAAGATACTTTGTTGTTCCAAAGCATGTAAGTTTCTTTGGGTACTTGATCTCCTTATCCAGGGAGATGTGGGTGTCACATGTTTCCTTGTTTTTGGTGCTCACTTGTGAGAGTGGTTTACCAGCATAGAGCAATGCTGCTGTCAGTCCTGCAAGTGTCATTTTTTTAAAGATGGTTTTGATAGGACAGCAAAATATTTGCTTTACCTAAAGGTTTGAAAGTGTCAGTATTCTTTAGAACCTGTTTGGCATTTTGCTTGTATTGTGCTTCAAAATAAATATATATATTTTTTTAAATCATCCATTCTGGCACATCAGGCTCCAGTAAGCTTCAGCCATTGCCATATAACACAAAAGTTAATTATTCTAATTTTTAGAAAATATGCTGATTATTAAAATTATTAATTTTTGTTCCCTGGTGTGATGGGATTTTTAAAAATGTCAAGTGTTGCTGGATTAGTATTTTATTGTCTTTCTGTAAAGCCCCTGTAGTGATTTTGATGGCACTATTTTAAAAATATCATTCTAGGTGACTTTGAGCAAATGCGTGTCTTTACCTTTCAGTCAACTCGTAAGGAATATCCTGTGCGACTATATAGATAATTTTTTTTTATAAAGCTACTCATGGGCAATCCCTGTTGCTAATATGCATACTTGCATATTCTTGTAATGTATCTCCTTGCTGCATACATTCAATATAGTAGACTTGGCAAGGCATGAGAATTTTTTGTTTCCCGACTCAGCATCTGTGGAGTATATTTGTTTTTACTTTTTATTAAATTGGAAATATTTTTTTCCTGAACCACTTGGAGGGAGTAACACATGTATAACTTACTGTACTTTTGAAAGAGGGTCACACTGTGGGGGAAATATTCACATGTCCTCCTTTGATGCTCTATTTACTACTTAAATGCATTTTGCTAATACATCTGTTTAGTTTCCCCCATTTGATTTTGCAAAGAAGTTGTAAGGCACTGTGTGAATCATAGAATCATAGAATATCAGGGTTGGAAGGGACCTCAGGAGGTCATCTAGTCCAACCCCCTGCTCAAAGCAGGACCAATTCCCAACTAAATCATCCCAGCCAGGGCTTTGTCAAGCCGGGCCTTAAAAACCTCCAAAGAAGGAGACTCCACCACCTCCCTAGGTAACGCATTCCAGTGCTTCACCACCCTCCTAGTGAAGTAGTGTTTCCTAATATCCAACCTAGACCTCCCCCACTGCAACTTGAGACCATTGCTCCTTGTTCTGTCATCTGCCACCACTGAGAACAGCCGAGTTCCATCCTCTTTGGAACCCCCCTTCAGGTAGTTGTAGGCTGCTATCAAATCCCCGCTCATTCTTCTCTTCTGCAGACTAAACAATCCCAGTTCCCTCAGCCTCTCCTCATAAGTCATGCACTCCAGACCCCTAATCATTTTTGTTGCCCTCTGCTGGACTCTTTCCAATTTTTCCACATCCTTCTTGTAGTGTGGGGCCCAAAACTGGACACAGTACTCCAGATGAGGCCTCACCAATGTCGAATAAAGGGGAACGATCACATCCCTCGATCTGCTGGCAATGCCCCTACTTATACAGCCCAAAATGCCGTTAGCCTTCTTGGCAACAAGAGCACACTGTTGACTCATATCCAGCTTCTCGTCCACTGTGACCCCTAGGTCCTTTTCTGCAGAACTGCTACCTAGCCATTCGGTCCCTAGTCTGTAGCTGTGCATGAGATTCTTCCGTCCTAGGTGCAGGACTCTGCACTTGTCCTTGTTGAACCTCATCAGGTTTCTTTTGGCCCAATCCTCTAATTTGTCTAGGTCCCTCTGTATCCGATCCCTACCCTCTAGTGTATCTACCATGCCTCCTAGTTTAGTGTCATCGGCAAACTTGCTGAGAGTGCAGTCCACTCCATCCTCCAGATCATTAATAAAGATATTAAACAAAACCGGCCCCAGGACCGACCCTTGGGGCACACCGCTTGAAACTGGCTGCCAACTAGACATGGAGCCATTGATCACTACCCGTTGAGCCCGACGATCTAGCCAGCTTTCTATCCACCTTACAGTCCATTCATCCAGCCCATACTTCTTTAACTTGGCAGCAAGAATACTGTGGGAGACCGTATCAAAAGCTTTGCTAAAGTCAAGGAATAACACATCCACTGCTTTCCCCCTCATCCACAGAGCCAGTTATCTCATCATAGAAGGCAATTAGGTTAGTCAGGCATGACTTCCCCTTGGTGAATCCATGCTGACTGTTCCTGATCACTTTCCTCTCCTCTAAGTGTTTCATAATTGATTCCTTGAGGACCTGCTCCATGATTTTTCCAGGGACTGAGGTGAGGCTGACTGGCCTGTAGTTCCCCGGATCCTCCTTCCCTTTTTTAAAGATGGGCACTACATTAGCCTTTTTCCAGTCATCCGGGACCTCCCCTGATCGCCATGAGTTTTCAAAAATAATGGCTAATGGCTCTGCAATGTCATCCGCCAACTCCTTTAGCACCCTCGGATGGAGCGCATCCGGCCCCATGGACTTGTGCACGTCCAGATTTTCTAAATAGTCCCGAACCACTTCTTTCTCATAGAGGGCTGGTCACCTTCTCCCCATATTGTGCTGCCCAGTGCAGCAGTCTGGGAGCTGACCTTGTTTGTGAAGACAGAGGCAAAAAAATCATTGAGTACATTAGCTTTTTCCACATCCTCAGTCACTAGGTTGCCTCCTTCATTCAGTAAGGGTCCCACACTTCCCTTGACTTTCTTCTTGTTGCTAACATACCTGAAGAAACCCTTCTTGTTACTCTTAACATCTCTTGCTAGCTGCAACTCCAAGTGTGATTTGGCCTTCCTGATTTCACTCCTGCATGCCTGAGCAATATTTGTATACTCCTCCCTGGTCATTTGTCCAATCTTCCACTTCTTGTAAGCTTCTTTTTTGCATTTAAGATCAGCAAGGATTTCACTGTTTAGCCAAGCTGGTCGCCTGCCATATTTACTATTCTTTCTACACCTCGGGATGGTTTGTTCCTGCAACCGCAATAAGGATTCTTTATTATGATATGATATTGCCACCATCACGTGGTGGTGATTTCATTACTGGATCAAACAGAGTGAAGTGAGAGAGGACGCGTGCTTATTAATGTACACATCTTGAATAATAGCAAGAGAGAAATAGAAATAATAGTAAAGTGAATTGCTTTTTATCTAAATATTCAGTCTCAAATATGAAATTACCTATTTACACAGTTCCTATGTTCGGTTGTATTGATCAGTTCACTTAATTCTGATTCATGGCTCTAGCCATTTTCTTACCTTTTCCAATGTTTGCTACTTGTATATACTGCTTTCTAACAAACTGAAACCAAGAAATGATTTTTTTTTTTTAAAGGAATTGCAATTCCTATTAGCACTATGGACCAAAACTACCCTGGTGTCAATAGCTGATATATATGAGGACTCTTGTAACATATATTGACAGAAGAGGGTATAATTAATACTATTTAGGAATCTCATGCTTCTATTAAGTTTCCTGTCCCTAAAACTAGGATATAGAATAGTAAGTGTTGTCTTTTTTCTTTTATACAAGCAAGAGTAACAATACCTTATAAAGTGTTTCTCTACCATTAAATGCCAGTTCTAAGGAAATATAGACAAAGAAGTATTAAGTTTGAAACTTACAAGTAAGGAACAGAAATTAAGGCTTCCTCTCTATCCTTTCACACCCTGTTCATAGAAATTTCACCACACACACTGAAGGTCCCCTTCTTTACCTAGGCATAATGCAACAAGTCATTATATCCCCATCCTTGCTTTTGTGGCTTGCATCAGCTGCTAAATGTTACTTGAGCATAGGATTTTGTTACCACTTTGGCATAATGCTTGCAGCATGTTCACTGCTTGCAATGGACTGGAAAAATTGGACTCCTGTTGAAGATGGATGTAAGTTTACTTAAGTGTTACATAACTTTGTTCTTGGCTAATGGCAGAACATGCAATATCAGGACAGCTGGACATAGACTACTTTTAAAACTGCGTACTATATAATCATGTAATCCATATGTAACAAACAAAATGGATGTGAATTCAAATAACTGCAGTTTAGCCATGAAAAGCGTCAACTGCCTTTTGGCCCTGATCTTGCAATCCCCCATCTCATTCAAGCAGTCCTTACTCATGAAAAATACTCTCTACATTAATTCAGTGGCGGTACTTGTTTAAGGACTGATCATCTGAGTAACGCTTTGCAGAGTTGGGCCCTTTACAGTCTAATGATTGCATAGTTGGACACTTCCTTAAACTTAGAAAACATGTGCTCTGGATTTGTATTCAACCGTACAGTTTAGGTTTTTGTATGTTCTTGGTATATCTTGTGTATTTCAGTCAACCAGAACTGTAAGATTGTGAAGATAGAGAGTTTTTCCCTCCTTTAAGTAGTTTTTAATATGTGGAGTGCTGTATTGGTATCAAATTTACAAATAAAATATAAATAATTTGTACTAGACAGTTATTGCTGTTACATTGGAAAGCGCATGTACTATGATTGTTCATTTTGAATGAGGATTTTCAGCTACATCACGACTTCAAGATAGCACAGTTTTGCCTTCTCTGAGATTATAGTCCAATACTTTATGGGTTGCTATATTTCAACGTTCCTTGCAAAGCTGAACTCTTACTAGGCTATACTGTTTTGACAGTTAACTCCTTTTCTGTCTTTTTTTTTTATTCATGTCCAGGATTATCATGCCCTATATTAATTTTAATGCTAAATACATATGTTCGTAGCATCA